TGTTTTTTTTCCCATACTTATGTATTTGTTGTATGTATTTTGTACTGTTTACATTTTGTGTACTGAGAAGTGTTCTCCTTTGGGTGGGATTGTGGGAGGGATAAAATGACGGGGAAAAATGGAAGAATGGAAGTTCTCTGTGACACTGCTCTGTTGTTTTGTTGGTCTAATTCAGTGTTTCTCAAACTTTTTCATACCAAGGACCACTTAACCAATAAAAAAACACTCGCGGACCACCTAACTCCACAAATGTCCAAAAACACATCGGTTTTTACAAATTGCCTGAAAATGGTACAAACAAGTGGCAACATGTGTGATGAAGGTGTTTATCTGGGCTATATTATGCAATCGAAAGTGAAACTTAAGCTCGCTCCATTGCGGAGATATTCCCGCGAGAGTGCGAAAAACTTTTATTTATTTCAAATGTGAAATTTTACCAATATACTCACGGACCACTAGGGGGCGCTCACGGACCACCAGTGGTCCGCGGACCACACTTTGAGAAGCACTGGTCTAATTGCTTCCAATAAAGAAAGTTGATAAAAAAAAAAGAAGAAAAAAAAACCTGGATGTCCTATAAGCTCAGGCCCTGAGAATATGTAGTGGAGCTTTTAAAACATCTCCAGTATCAGCAATACAGGTGGAAATGGGAGAAATGCCTTTAATGATAAGAAGAATGAAGTTAATGTTGGCATACTGGGTAAACCTTCAGGGGCATAGTGATAGTCATCCTGCGAAAAGTATCTTGAAAGATTGCTGGGAGCACAATGAGTCACATTTAACAAGTTTTGGATGGATTGGCGATGTTAAAGCAGCAAGTATAGGTTTGAATCAAATACAGTATTTCCCCACAGTTCCAATCTCGTCCATTCCACCCTGGTTGTTCCCATTGCCAAGTGTAGACCTCAATATACGAGAGGAGTTAAAGGAAAATAAAGAACTACCAGTATGGCGCATAGTCCAGAATTATTTTTGCAAGATATCACTCAGACTCAACAATCATATTTACAGATGGCTCCAAAGATCCAGAGACAGGGCGTGCAGGGGCAGCAGTTTATATCCCAGTGAGTAATACACATATAAAGAAAAGGGTAACAGACCATGTGTCAGTATACACCACAGAGTTGTTGGCATTGGTGTTGTCATTGAAATAGATAGAGGAGAAAGAAATACATAATAGTGTAATTGCATCTGACAGCTTTTCAGCATTATCAAGTATACGATCAGGCAGATCTTCATTTAGAATGGACATAATAAATGAAATATTTCTAATTTTATATAAAATGCAAAACAAAGGCATAGCAACTCGTTTCATCTGGGTTCCTGCTCATGTTGGTGTGGAGGGAAATGAACAGGTGGATATTCTGGCCAAACAAACACTCAGAATTATGAACATAGACATAGAAGTTCCACTCAGCAAAGCGGAGGTTAAAACATTCATACAGAAATATGCACAAACAACATGGCAAGAACATTGGGATCTTAGTGATACAGGAAGACATCTTTATAAAATTCAAAGGTATGTGGGGGATGGAAGGAAGGTAGGGTTTAAAAGAAGGGAGGAAAATGTCATTTCTCGGATGAGAACAGGTCATACCAACACACTCTCACTCCCTAAGCGTCCAGGAGCGACATTTGGTCAGTGTCCGTGGCGTCCAGTTGTGACGCTCCTAGGCTCCTTCAGCGTCATAAAGGGACGCAAATAGCTTTCAACTGATTGCAATGTATTCCCATCTGCGGCGGGATTTGACGCTCATGGAAGCACGGCATTCGTTTGTGTCGGCTGCCCTTAAAGGCAATGTGAGCGTCCATTCCCATTGGATAACGGAGAATTGTACACCCGGAAGTAAGTATTCCTCTTACTGTCGATTGATTTTACAGTGATATCTGCACTACTCATCGACTAAAAAACACCAGATTATCCTTGTTAATTACACAACATTGATTGGTTTAAATTGTGTGCAATGCTTTTGTATTTTTCCCCTTCGATTCGGAGAAACAAATATTTGTTCGGAGTAAAGGATGGCAGAAGACACTACACTACCCAGAATCCCCAGCTATCGTTTGGACTACACCATGTGCTCTGTTTGACAAACCCCGTGATAGTCCTCAAGCTCTGTGATTGGAGAGTGTGCTCCGAGGGTTACGCCGATTCGCGAACAGCACTTGAAATGGGATGGAACTACGACAGACTGTCCAAAACTGGATTTGAACGGGTCCACCGCGTCCTCCCCTCCCCCACCCCGTCCCCAAAACTACACATGCTGGCTATTGTGTTTCGCAACATGTTCTCTATCTATGGCACGTCTCTACTGGGAGTTGTAGTTTTAAAAGACGTTTTCGTATTTCCCATAATAAGAAGTTGCCAGTATTAAACTGTGTACATCCCTGGAGGTTTAGGGGATAGGAAACACTCAAATTTAAAACATATAATTAATAAATGGGTGAACATTGCTTGTGCCCATAATGGGCAGCATTAATATATATACACACATGCCAGCTAAGGTCAGAAGAGCTTTATTTAACAGCTGGTCTTATGTTTGTGACCCCTGTTGTTAATTGATAACATTACATTACATTAATTGATAAGCCTGAAACATGCACTTGTCAAGGTTCAGAGGCACATTTTGCAAATATGGCAGTTGCCATCGATCAGCTTAAGATAAGATATACTTTATTGATCCCAAGTTGGAACATTTGCGTTACATCAGCATGTGTAACAGTTGTAAATATGCAGTGGTGTTTATTTGTAAATCATTTAGTATAATCACACAAATTCTGTGTTTTATATTTAACAATTCTGTGTTCTTTATTTATTGATTGTTCAATACCTGACAAGGCCGGAGATGAAATATCTACATACATCTTATAAGAGTATAATACATTATGTATAATATCAGTTAAAATAAGTGCTTCAACATAGTTAACATTGCTGGAGGTATGCACAAATATTGATAGATGTCTTGTAATGCACTATTGAGGAACCTGCGACCCAAGTTTTTCATTCAATGCAGAACTACACCATAGTTGTGTATATGATATGTCAATAAACCTTAGAAAATCTTGAAATCTTGAAAGGGATGTGCAAAATAGTCATTATATACAGTCTTTAATTAACTATTAGTAGAGAATAACGAGTAATGAATATACTTTATAGGGATCCTATTAATATCTAATAATAAAAATAATGAAATTAAATAACATGGTTTAACCACTAGGTGTCCCTTTATATCAGCTGTGCACCTTTATTGTGTAAATATAGCCTATCTACCAATTGGATCAAATATAAAAGTCAGCCGAATTAGTGTTGATACTGCAAGGAGACGTATTGTGTGAAAAGAAATGTAAGATGTTGTTTAATGGCTGATATATTTATGATCCACGTCACGTTTTCAGTTCCTCATGTTTGTCTAGAAGTCTTCTCATCAGGGCTCTATAAATACAGAACTACGGCAGATATGTAATATTTAATGCAGCCGAACAGTGTATTACAATGCCGTTATGTGATGACTTTCAAAGAGAAAAGCAAGCACACTCGGAATAAAGTATTATTATTTTTTATTTTTATGTTTTCGGTCTGTTTCCGGTATTTGTTAATGACGATGTGCTGTAAGATGTGAGACTGGAATTGCACAGGGGAAAATAACGTAGGCTATCTTTAGATGCGGATTTTGTTAAACTAATATGTTTGCGCTGTGGACCAACACTATACATTGACGGGGAAGGGGGTAGCAATAAAGATAACACCATTAAACAGTTACACAACATAACATAAATAATATCGATAGCAGCGTCCCTAGCAACCACCTTGGTAACAATGAAAACGTCGCGATTTCCTGAAGTAATCTTCGTAATAATAACTAGCAAACTAAAGATCATGTACATCCACTGCACACATAATCTGAAATAACAACTCATATTTCTCGCATCAAATGACATCAAAACGCATTTTAATGGCCAAACTAACTTTAAAATAGGCATTTTCCACCGAGAATAAAACGAAGTTCGGCCATGTTTTCTTTTTCTGCAGGGAGAAATTTGAAGATCACGTGACATAGACGCCAGCCATTGGAATGAAGGTGAAAAAAAAACGGGGTTTGTCAAACAGAGCACATGGTGTAGTCCAAACGATAGCTGGGGATTCTGGGTAGTGTAGTGTCTTCTGCCATCCTTTACTCCGAAAACATATTTGTTTCTCCGAATCGAAGGGGAAAAATACAAAAGCATTGCACACAATTTAAACCAATCAATGTTGTGTAATTAACAAGGACAATCTGGTGTTTTTTAGTCGATGAGTAGTGCAGATATCACTGTAAAATCAATCGACAGTAAGAGGAATACTTACTTCCGGGTGTACAATTCTCCGTTATCCAATGGGAATGGACGCTCACATTGCCTTTAAGGGCAACCGACACAAACGAATGCCGTGCTTCCATGTGTCAAATCCCGCCGCAGATGGGAATACATTGCAATCAGTTGAACGCTATTTGCGTCCCTTTATGACGCTGGAGGAGCCTAGGAGCGTCACAACTGGACATCACGGACACTGACCAAACGTCGCTCCTGGACGCTTAGGGAGTGAGAGTGTGTTGGTCATACAGGTCTCAATCATACATTAAGTATAATAGGAAAGCATCCAACCGGAAAGTGTATACACTGTAGCCAGCCAGAAACTGTTGAGCATGTTTTACTGCTTTGCAGGAAATATAGTACTCAGAGAAATGTGCTTTTCCAGACACTCAAGAAAGCAAAATTCCATGACTTGTCGCTATCAGGGCTGTTAGGGAAAAAATCAGGCAATATATATTGTGAGATTATTACGTTTCTAAGAGAAATTGATACATTTCAAAATAATCTAGAGTTTTGGTTCTTTGTTTTGTTTGTTTTGTTTATTGTTTTCTGCATAGTCTCTTGTCTACACTCCAGTCCAGTTGGTGGCGGTAATGCACCTAAAAGTTGGTTTGCCAACCGCCAATAAACACTAAAGAAGAAGAAGAAATCCATTTCCGGGTCAATACCGGAGGACCGAGGAGTCGAGGAGGGGAATTTAGAGAATTGAGAAGCCTTCATTGTTTCATGCAAAGCTACAATTACCGTATTTGCACGAATATAGCGTGGTGTATTGTTCACAACAGGACATTTGAATGAGCAGGGGTTAGGCGTGTGGTCCATATGTGAGGACGACTAGAAAGTAAATGCCAATACGCATTTACAACAGCAGACTACTCTTCAACGAAAACATTTTCAAAATTAGTGGAGCAAAGTACTTTCACTGACACGTTCCTACAATGTCTGCAAGCGTAGAAGAAGAGGAAAAGCCACCACAAAACAAGGTAACTACATCGTCCTCGCTCGACACATTCGTCTGTATGTTTAGAGCAGCGTAGTTATGGGGACTTATTAAGGGGGTGGAATATAATAATAATGTTTATGTTTTACTAATCACCAGAAACTAAGAAGCGTTGTATTTTTAGGCGTGAATGCTTCATTTATTTTTGCCAGAAAGCGCCTCACAGAGCCCGCCATGTTCCTACCGTAGGCCAGAGTGGACAATCCGAGCGGTCATTCGCGTTTTTACTTGAAAGTGGCAGCACTTCGTGCATCGGTCACTATGATCGGTTACCTAATCATGTAAAATGCACCTTTTCATATTCTTTAAACATAAATATGTGTCCCCGTTGTCTAGAAAGTCTCACGTAGTTTTTTGGAAAAACAACCCTCCCTGTTTTTCGCCTGCTCAAGATTCCGAAAAAACAGCTTTCTAAAGAGCGAATTAAGATTTGGACTCCTATCTATTGTCACAATCAGAAACTGTATTCGTCCCACAGAGGTATTATTTACATTTTTACAGCTAAAGTGAAGATAGAGACAAACAAAAATGATGCACCATTAGAAAAGGCGTGCACATTATATTTTTAAAATATTATTCGTTTTTAAAGTAACATTCGTAATACATTTCCAATTTTCACTGTGTAACTGCAACAACAAGTTACGATTTTCCATTTAAATTAATATTATTTTATTATGTAGACCTCAGGCTGTTAGAAATGCATTTTGATTACTTATATTAAATGAACTGCAACCAGATAATGTACAAGCCCAACACGAAATATGTCATGTCAAGTAGATTACATATATTTGTATTGCATAGAGATGGGGGAAAAAAAAACATTTTCAAGAAGAGGCTTTGTCCCTTTCTTTAGAATATATTATACTCACTATACTAATAATGAATATACTGCAAAAATAGTTGCTTCCCTGCCATTCTTTTTCATTTGACTGAAGACTTGTTTGCTTACCTTGGTACTTTACATTACATTACATAAGGTATATTTTGATGCCAGTACTTTCGTTATTTTACTTAAGTGAGATATTGTATGCAGGACTTGTACTTGTAGTAGGCTACTTGTAGTACAACTAAAAGTATAGTGAAATATCTGTTAACTTCTTCCACCTCTGCTGTCAGTTACAATCTGCAACCTGGCCATTAGATGTCACTAACTCCCACACCGCCTGCTCCTTTGGCCGGTTCACATTGTTGTTTTTTTGTATCTTCATAAAGTATACTCAAACACATTTAGGAGTTGTCTTGTTTTTACAGTTGTTTTCCCCGTAGCCGACTAAGTTAGCTTGTTAGCTCATTGAGTTGACAGCAGCATCCTGTATGTTAGTATCTGCTTGAATACATAACCTCAGAAGTGGGTGGGTGTTTGGAAGCGCGGCGTCTGCAGCATAATTAAAACATGGCGGATTCAGAGGAATTTAGACTTAAACGATTAAAGGTAAGAAATAAAAACATGGAGCATATGTATAGCAACACATAGGCGGCGAGCTAAATTGAACAGTCGATAAAGCTACATAATACGACACTTAGTTATCAGCTTCCGGTCAAGATGTGCACATTATGCTAACGTTAGCAAGCTAGCTTTCCACCCTGTGGCTTGCTGCTGTTCTGCACTGATGCATGCCCCCACGCCAAACTCTGTCTAACAGCCTGTTTATATCAGCAAACAAAAATACAAAAATAATATGATGCAGGTTTTTTGTCAACCCAAAGAGCTTTTATTATTCCAGCCCTGCAGATGTGTGTTGTAGTGGACTGCTGCTTCCAAAAGCCCCTGCATCGAGGAAGGATGCTGCAAACAAGTGGACATTTTACTAAATTAACATGTTGCCATGAGAATCCCTTGCGTTGCATGTTATTATGACCCGGAAGACTCCAGCAACCAATACAATGTGTGACTGGATTGTGTGGTGTCTGTGTCAGTATAATAATACAAATATGCCCGCACGCCTCAAATCGCCACATTTTAAATGGGCTTTGGTGGGACGCCCCCTCCACACAACTGATAGGACAACATGAGGCCTGCAGCCATTACAATTGAAAATAGAGAGACATTGAGGGCATAAAGGTTAGTCAGAAAGTTCACAATTTTAACCCAAACTGTAAGATAGGCAAAACTCTATGGGATCCTTCTGGGCAAGTCAACGTAATAACAACAGAAGCACACGTGTATTAAACATCTTCATTGCATTGGCTGCATTGATCACCTGCAGGACCCTGATTGTGTGCATGCTGTCTCAATGACATGGTTTTTAAATAGAGAAGAGCCAGAATGATGATCGCCCACCTTAGCTTTTCCTGCTCTTTCATTGCTTATTATATATATATATAAAGTTGTTGATTGATTATGAACACATAATTGTTCTAAAGAAAGTAGTGATGTACAAATGACCCTCTTGGGTCAGGTTTGTGATGAAGGGTTAAACCCTGTTGCATTGTTGTCTGAGATCAAATTAGCTGGAGGGTTGTTAGGGCATTTTATGGTTCATTCAGTTGAGAAATGGAGTAGGAATATGATAGTGGCCTACAGCATGAATATAAGAGAAAAATAAAGAGTGCACCTTTTTTTTTTTTTAAAGAAACTGGAACCAGAACCTGATTAGGTGTCTAAATTCTTCAAATGATTTAAAATAAAGAATTGTGAAGGTTGTGTGAACATTTAAGGGTTAAGTTATGTGTATGTGTATATATATATATATATATATATATATATAGTATTTTTAAAGTAAGGGTAAAAGTTCCACAGTAATGAAAATTGTGTTCCATTTGCCATTATGAGGTTGTAAGCAGTCAGGAGGTTTTACAGTGAAGAAAAGAGTATGAATGAACTTGAATTTCCCTCGTTTTTAAATCCTAACTTATCTCTCCCCCACAGCATGAAGAGCGGCTTTCCAGAGTGTTTGACGAAGTGATGGGGCTTGGACACTTTGCTGACTCCTCCAGGGGCTCTGCCACCTCCTCCAGGAGTGAAGGTCAGGACGAGACAAAAGAAGTCGACACAACTTCAGCACAAGTGGAACAGCAACCGGTTGAAGAGGAGGATAGCAACGGCAGCAGACAAGAAGAAAAGATGGAAGAGGGGGCGGAAGAGTCTTCCTTACCGTGCATTACCTCCCCTTCCGCCGTCCCAGGCTCATCGTTTACAATGGGAACCAAAGAAGTCGGCGGAGGAAGTGGAGGGGCAGCGTTTGATGATGCACAGGATGGACTCCCTGCGTTTGGGCCAGGAGAAGAAGAAGAAGACTGGCACTTTGCCCTGCCGTCGGACAGCCTGGGAGATGTTAATGTGGTAAAGGATAAAAAAAAAATGGCACCAGAAGTGGAGATCAATGCCACACAACGCAAACCCTTCCCTCCTCAGCCCAGAGAGGTGGAGGACGTAAGCACAGAGTCTGCTAACACCTCCCACTCCTCCCAGGACCACACACCTGAAAACAGCCACGGTAAAGTCACACACACATGAGAAGTTTCTGCACACAGTTTTAAAGTAAATGTATCTCCGATGCCATATTTAAATTCTGTTTCTTTGGTGGCCGATAGGTGCAATCGCGCTACAACGGCCCAAAAAACGTCCATTAGTAGAAATGGGCTGCAGCTTCCAAAACTATGCAAATATAAAAACGCAAATGAGTCGTAACGCATGCAAATGAAGAAACATCTTCACCAACTTGACACACTGATGATGTGTCAGGATGTTTTTTGGGCTGTCATTAAAAAAGACACACTGCCATTTTTAATATCAAGTTGGGTTTATTAGTCAAAAAGAGTACTATTTATAAAAAAAAAAGTTATATGGTGTCCTTTGTAAGTCACAAAGTAGCTTTCCAGAAGTCTGGGGAAATAACCTTGATGTCATTGAGACGTAACACTATTAGGGTTGTTATTGCTTTAAAATAAATGGGCATCTATCTATTTAAAGACAGCATTGAGTTGCATTATTGGAATGGGAATTGTAAGAATTATTAATTTGGTAGCTTGTCATATTCTTGATCTAAAAGTCCCAATGTCTTGACCTCTTCTTTGACTGTCCTCTTTTTAAAAATGTGTCCCTTGTAAGTCTGTTTATTTTAGTGTAATTCAAAATGGCTGCACCAAATGTGGCTAGCCGTCACACATCCTTTGTCATCAGCCAAAATCGTATAGAACTACAGAGGTAGCTTTGACATGCTCTTCTGCATAATAATAGCTTTTAGTGAGATTTTCCTTAGAATTTGTATCAGGCTTCTTTTCTCCTTCTCAAGGACATTACAACAGGCTGATGGCCATTACTGTGAAAAGCAACATTTCAGACACATTTTAAATTGGTATCCTCAGCATATTACTAGACTGTTGAAGGTATCATCACATGAAAAAATGGTAGCCATGTTTGAAGGGATTGTGATATTCTTAGCCGATAATAATGTGACTGATTGCTGATACCAAAGTTTGGTTGTTGTTAATAAAACAAGGAAATATCCATTTCAATAAAGTAACTTTACTGGTATAAAGTCATTCAGCACTTTGATAACAAATGTAATCATAGCAATTTATGAAACAACCTTTAATTTAGCCTTTTTAGAGACAGTTGTATTACTCCCATGTGGACGACATTTTCTTTCTCTTTTATTTGTAATCAAATCCCAGCAGTACCCATAGAGGGATTAAGTCAGTAATGGCGGCTTGTGTGACTTTATGTAACAGTTGTTTGAGGTCTGTTGGGTGTGTGAGAGTCACAACAAAACTTCAGCTGAATAAACCGAGACCATTTTTCCACAGAAAGACAATATAAGCAGTTTAAAATGCTTTGCACAAAAGATTGTAAGTGTGCTCAGAGATTGCTTGCAGCAGTGTGTTCATTATCCATTATTTCCTAACTTCTTTGGTGGTATCTTTTCTGCCTTTCTGTCAGGCCGAGGCATCCAGGACCAGGCGGAGGAGACAGAAGATAGCCAGGAGGGAGAGGTAGGAATCGTGGTCATATAATCCCATAACATCTTTAAAAACGTATTGAGATAATTATGAAAACTCTTTATATTTCAGAGGACAGAGGCAGCTCCGATGAAGGACAGTAGTCCCCCTCCTATCAATATTAAAGATGAACCCATCGATGAGGGCTACGACGCTGCGCTGCTGCCTCAGAGCTCCATCAGACAGATCAAAGAGGAGCTGGAGCATCAGGAGGTCAGTTTGGGGAGAGTTGTGTGGATTTGTAATTCTCTTATTGATAAAAAGGACAAGATTTAACTGCAAAACAATAACATATTTGTTTAAAAGCTGCTGAAAGCCCATGCTTTCTGGTGATTGTGAATAATTATAATAATAATACAATGTTTCCTAGCAAAACAGAAACTATACATTTGATCTATTAATCGCTGATGTTGTTTATTAACATGACTTACAACAGTACTACATGAGAGGGAATCATTAACCATTTATAAACAATCTGATCTCCTGATGTGTGCTCCTTTTAGGAAGAGCTGAGGATCAGCTCCGTCTACTCTGTAGGTGGAGGAAACACCTTTGCGTCGCCTACCGGTGAGTTTGTTCATGTGTTCATTAAAGGCCCGAACACACCAAGCTGATCTTGGCCGTCGATGGGCGTCAGGCCGTCGATAAGCGTCGACACGCCCTACTCAGATTGGTGTGTCCCGCACCGTCGTGTCTTTTCAGCCGTGCCGACACCTTTTCGAAAACCCACCGATTCAACATGTCGAATCGGTGGGCAGTCGGCCAAAGGCTGTCGGTAAAAGAAATCACTCTGATTGGCTGTTCAGCTAGTGAATGAAAGCGAAACGGAAGGGACCCAAACAAACTATTAAGAAGGCAAATCTGAGATTTCGTTTAACTCCAGCTCTCGACACAGGTTCGGGAAAGCCCCATGAGCTTCTCGCTGTAGAGTGAAAATGGAACGCACACGCTATGTGTTGTTTGTTTATATCACGCAGTCTGTTCTTCTTCTCTCGGTTATCACGCAGTCTGTCTTCCGGTTGTTGCCTCTTTTGAATGACGAATACACACTACCGCCGCCTGCTGGTAAGGAGAGTTATTGCCACTCACGCATGCGCAGTTCGTACGTGCTTCTTGGCCGTCGGCTGAAGTCTTTGCGGTGTGTTCCAGTGCGACACATGGCCAAGACGCAGAGACGCGAGGCGACACAACAGTCGGGGGTCCGTCTGTGTCAGTTCTTAGGTGTCAGCTTGGTGTGTCCGGGCCTTAACACTAGAACCGCCAAGGGGGTACATTTGACCCCTGAGCATTTTCAAATGCATGTCAATCTGTTAAAATACAACCCCTACATCTCTTATTTCATGACTTTTCCTAAAATTGTTTTATTTATAATTGTGGGATAAAAGAAAAAGAAAATATAAGCATTAATACCTACAACTGCGGAAGGGGGTACATTTTTACCCCTGATGAACAGCTGTCCGCGAGTTGATGTACGTTCACACCACTGGTCCGGTTGCTTAGTAACGCCCATTGTAGAGAAATGTTGATAAAGAAGTGTCATATCACCAGCGAAATACACCATAGGTTAGTGATTCAGATAGAAAACATGGACCCTAACAGAAGAATGAATGTGGAAGAAGCCCTAGCAATGCTCCAGGCGATGAGCGAGGCCGAATCCGAAGGGGGAGAGAAAACCGATGGAGAATCTGATGAGGGAGAGGTCAAAGATCCGTCAACGGAGGAGGAATCCTCATCTGAGGATTGGGAGCCGATACCCCGAAAAAGGCCCAGGGTTCTGGTGGCAGGTAGACTATAGTCCCACATATTCGAACACCCACATCTGAAACTCAAATATATATATCAGTCCTACATATTCTCAAGTGGCAAATTATCACAACCTAATTACCTCCTCTTAGCGAGACCACCCACTCTTCTACCCATGTTATCGCATCAGCCTGCTGACGCTGTGACAGATAAACCAGGTAAGCCTGTAAAGTCTATAAAAACGTAAATTTGACCAATCCATTTTAACAAACTAATTATACATATTTATATTGTTTAGTGTCGGCCCATCATGATTCGCATGAGACTGGCAAGGATGGAACTCTCTGGATACCAGAGAATCCTGGCCTGCGCACTGGGAGAGTGAAGTCTAACAATGTGTTGACAGAAGGAGCCGGCCCAACCGCACATGCACGCCGCAACATAGACGACCCTCTGAGCGCATTTATGTGTCTGATGGACCCTGTGATGCTGATGCACATCTGTGACTGCACGGTGGCAGAGGCGCGCCGGCGTGGAGAGGAAGGATGGAAGTTGAGCTTGGCTGAGCTGAAGGCGTTCATTGCACTTCTTTTAGCGCGGGGCGTGCACAACGAGAGAATTGTGGAAGACTTGTGGTCTCAAGAATGGGGTCTTCCCTTCTTTAGCACAACTATGGCAAGGCACCGATACAGAGATATAATGCGCTTCCTGCGTTTTGATAAGAAAGACACCAGGCGCAGTCGTCTTGGAAATGACAAGTTTGCCCTTGTAAGTGAGGTGTGGGACAGGCTTGTCCAAAACAGCATCGCGTGCTATAAACCAGGGTCCGAAATAACTGCAGGTGAGCAGTTGCTCCCCACAAAGGCAGGGTGCCCCTTTACTCAGTATATGCCCAACAAACCAGACAAATTTGGTATTAAGTTCTGGCTCGCTGTTGATGTGGAGTCAAAATACATGTTAAATGGCTTTCCCTATCTCGGGAAGGATCCGTCCCCTTCTGCAACCCAGAGCCAGGGGGAGAGTGTTGTACTGGAGCTGATGGAGCCGTTTTTGGGGAATGGGAGGAATGTGACGACTGAACACTTTTTCACCTCACTCCCCCTGGCCCACAAACTCCTGGCAAAAAATACAAGCTTGGTGGGCATCACTAATAAAAATAACAAATCACTGCCTCCTTCTGCACACCAACGAGCAGCACTGTTCACCACCAAAGTGATGAAAAGTGACAAAGCAACGCTCACCATCTACCAGGAGAAAAGTAAGAAGAACGTGTGCATCCTCAGCACAATGCACAGATCAGTGGAGATTTGCAATGACACGAAAAAAAAGCCAGAGACAGTCAACTATTATAACAGAACGAAGGTGGGAGTTGACATGCTGGACAAAATGTTGAGACAGTACTCTGCTCGAGCCACAACCAGAAGATGGCCAGTCGCTGTTTTCTATAACATACTGGACATTGCAGCAATGAACGCGTGCGTCCTGTACCGGGGCTGCACCGGTTCAAACCCGTCCCGGCCAGTGTTTATCCTGGAGCTGTGTAAGCTGCTGCGCAATGAGCACATCAGCATGCCCAAAGTAGGCATTTTGCCACCATTCCCCGAAAAGAGAAGGAATTGCGGTGTAAAGCGCAACTGCAGAGAGAACAAAACCACCAAAACATGCATGGTGTGCCAACGTGGTGTGTGTGGACAGTGCAAGGGAATAGTGAACGTTGTGTGTGCTGATTGTGTGTGTGGCTACAGCACAATCACATTTATTTAAGAAAATGCCTGTCAGTGGTGGCATTATTCCTTAATTGTGTCACTAATCATCTCATTTGAATAACCGACTATAACGTTTGTGTCGTTTCTGTTGCAGTTTACATAAAATGTCAAATGGGCTGCCTGTAAAATGTCTTGAGGGATAGCAAGCACCCTGCTTACTCAAAACATGTTATTTTCCAAAATGCATTTAATGTTAAAGGTGGGATAGGTCATTTTGGAGAAACCAGCTCGAGTGCGCTAGAATTTGAAAATACACAGCCGGAAAAAATCTTCCACTTCCTTACAGAGCCCCTCCTCCAAAGCACACGAACGCGCACATGACCAATGAGGGCACGAGATAAGTTTGTGCACAGATGGAAGGCTGACAGGCAGGTAGGCCATCCAGTTACTTTAGCCGGGCCGGCTAAAATGATTGGTCGTGCTTTTTACAGCGCTACGGCTTCCACAGATGACATTTTTTTGTATGGATTTATTGTCAAAGCATTTAATATATTCATTGCTATCGGGATGTTAAGAGCATTCCATGGAATATAAGAAAAAGTCTATCTCGAGCCGGTTTCTCAAACTTACCTACCCCACCTTTAATAAATGTTTTTTTTAATTAAAATGTAATGGTTTATAAAATGTTAATATGTGGTATTTCCTTTTTGTTTGACCGTTGTAATATTTTGAGTAACTTCCAAATGAATTTTAAAATGCGTCGATCTGCACTGAGATAAAACAATTGTAAAATGATTAACACCCTATAAACTAAAGTTTCAACAATTATTTTGTCAAGTCTTACTTATTATTTAAAACAAAGATGAACATGAGCAACCTAACAGCATAAAGAAATATCATTTTTGCGAGTACTGACGCTGTTGTATCTGGGGGTAAAATGTACCCCCCCGACGGTTCTAGGGCTATTGGAATTGTTCTTGTGTCTAGTGTCAGAGGTATCTGTTCTTTGATACTTTCTTGAGACCAGCTGCTAAAAAAAACAGTCTAGAAACGAATAATCCATGGATTTGTTTTAGAAGTAAAACTCATCAAAATATATTTTTACTTTAGTGTTGCACGATTCTGAAAAATTATAATAATTTTTGGTTGATATTGAAATATGATTTGCAATATTAAAGGGACATTTGCAACATTATAATAACATACCAATACATTTTATCATGGTTTTAATATTATAATTGTATTCTGTCTGTAGAACTTCTTTCTATGCCAGGACTTCTTTGCAGTGCTACAATACAAAAACTTGCTCTTACTCAGATTTGGATATTGCACTAGTCAAAATTGCAATTTTGATAATATTTAGATGAATTCTGCAGCCCAATTTTTATTTTCTTAACCAACCTTTCCCGTTTCATCCCCTCAGTGCCGTTAGCAATCCCAGCCCCCCCTCAGACGGCCTATTTTATCCAAGGTAGAGGGACCCTGCTACAAGCCATGGCCCAGATCCCGCTCAGACCCCCTGCTTCAGTCCCAACCTCCCTCCCATCCCTAATTTCTGTCCCCCCACGCCAACCTCCGCCCTCTGTTCCCGGCAGCGTTCGCTGCAGCGGCTGCTCTAAGGTACAGTTGTTCACATATTTATACGTTGATTAAAACACTCATGTTTTATGCATCTCTATTATCATACAATATTGACAGATGTATTTGCTACATTGATCAACCATATAAATGAAACAGTGGTGTAAAGTAACTAAATACATTTACTCAAGTGACATTTTGAGGGACTTGTACTTTACATGTGTTGCTATTTTGTACTTCTGCCCCACTACAATTCAGAGGTAAATTGTGTACTTAAGCTCCACTACATTTTGTACCTTTTTAGTTACTTTGCAAATTTGGATAAATGATGTGAAGTATAATCAAGACCTTAGTTCCACCTGGAGTAAATCACAAGCTACCCTGCAGTATACAAAGTCATTCAAACTAGCTGCACCTTTACCAGCTTTGAGAACACTTTAATGTTCAATCATTATAAAACATATCATATATATTATTCTAAAATGGACCAATCTGCACAACGACTACTTTTACTCTAGGTACTTAAAGTAGATTTTGATGTGAAGACTTTTGTATTGTACTTTTACTTCAGTAACATTTGCACGCTTGTAACAAAGTACTCCCACCTCTGAAATGAAATGATCATGTTTAATGTGTCGGGGTTTGGGCAGTGATGTAGGCTTTTATTCTTTTTAAGTTTATGGCTGTGTCAATGGTTGCAGGTTCTGCTGAAAGGTCAAACAGCGTTTCAGAGGAAAGGCTCCACGCAGCTCTTCTGCTCCACAGTGTGTCTGACGGGCCATCTGCCTCCAGCCAACAAGAACCGACTGTGCTTCCAGTGCAACAGGTTGGTACGCCTTTGATTTCAGTATGAACTGAAATCAGGGTTCTATACAGGCAAGAGTATCCTTAAGCTGTATCTCCTCTCTTTACCTGTAGCTTGTCCTGAAAAAATAATAATATGGCTTTCCGGTGCTCAATCCCCCCTCCATCTGTCTACCATGAAATACCCAATTTACCTGATGCCTTCAAATAAAATCATAACTAATTAAATGTACTTGTATAAGTACAATAATTACACAGAAAAAGTATCAAGTTACTTTATACATAAAAGCAAGTTTGTTAATAAACATACAGCCCTTATAAACTCACCGGCCACTTTATTAGTTACAACTCGCTAGTACCATACAACAATATTCAGGCTGGCTGTGGTGTTTATAGGTCTCCTATAATGCTATTTTTAGGCATATATTATGGGTCTCAGATATATATATATATATATATGTCTATGATGTGTTTTGCTCAAAATACCAAACAGATCATGCATTTTAGACATCCCTCATATCCCTCTCTTTCAGCCCTGTTAGAGAAGTGCTGATTCGGGTCCTTAGCTTGAAAAAAAAAAAAGAGGAGGGTGAGCTTGTGCCTGCTCAGAATTCTGCTACAGATACAGCTAAATGCTCCCGTGATTAAACTCCATATCATGTTCCAAACCACATCAAGGATTATTTCTGAAACAGTATGGAGCTCAAATGCTTTTTCCTTTTTTTTTTTTTTCTGCTTTTTAACACATGTGTTCATGTGTTAAAAACCAGCTAACCAGTACAGGTTAGCTCTGAGTGTTAGTGATGCTTGCTAATGTAAACAAAGACCATATTACATCCAAAACAGTCGAGCATTGTTTCTGATAGCAACGTTTCTGATAGGGCCGTGGGTCCACATTTCAAAAATTACGTTATATCGGACGCAAATCTGGATCAGCTCCGTTTTTCGAGATTTGGGTATGGAGGAAAAGAGAGAGGGTTTTGTTTTCTGACACTTTGAGAGTTCCCTGACACACCGGGGACACATATTCATGTATAAAAGACATCAAAAAGGGCATTTTGCATGATGGGTCCCCTTTAAACAATGCTCAATTGGTACTAAGAAAATATTTATAGTTCAATACTGACTTCTTAAGCTAAGTCCATGCATTTATGTTGGTGCCACTGTTACCTTGACATATATATATATATAAGCTTGAATGTATGCAAAAACAGCATCCATCAACCTCATAATTTCTCTTTTTGTACCTTTTACCACATCTCCTATTCCTTACCTGAGTCTTTTGAACACTGTATTAATTCCTCGTGCTTTTCTCTCTGCAGGGAGATCCTTCAGCCCAGGGACATGGTCACGATCCCCGGAGACAACAACACCCTCCTCAACTTCTGTGGCCAGTTCTGTCTGGCTGTCTTTAAAAACAAGAAGAAACAAGTCGATAAGGTTCCTGAAAAACAACTGGAGAAGAAACCTGAGAGGCCACCTGAGAAACCAGCGCAGCCCCCCTCTGATATACCCTTCTGTGCTGTCTGCAAGATAATCAACAAGGTATGAGACAGATTTGAAAAGAAAGACAGATTTTCAATGTTTGTTGCGTCTTCACTCTACAGTCTGTCTTTCTGTTCCCTGTGTTTATCTTGTCTGCTGCAGATTGAGCATGAGGTCACCCATCATGGTACTCTGTACAGACTCTGTAGTGACAGTTGTTTTGTAACCTGGCGCAAGTCGCGCAAGTTAGCCATGAACTGCTGCGAAGGCTGTGGACTTTACTGTAGCAGCAGCTCGGGCTCCTGTCAGACGCTCACTGTTGACAGATCACAGCTCAACTTCTGCGGCCCTACCTGTATCGGCACCTACAAACAGGTAGGCGTTTGCATAAATTATGTTTTTTTTATAACCTTGTTTTGAGCCTTTTGAAGTAATGATGGTTTGGCATGTAGGATAAACGTATGGCTATACATATTAGCTTATTAGTTTGGGATGACCCAACAGCTTCTGATTATTTCAGCCGATATTCCGTTAAAATATGCAATTAAGAAACAGTTGAAGATGGATTTGTACATGATTCTTTATTCAGTAAACTCACTTTTCATGTGGTATTCCTGATAATGCTGCAATATGGACCAGAAATCCGTGTCAAAATCTGCAGCTGGTAATGTTAGCTGTTAGCATTCGTTGGGCAGCACAGTCCTGCCTGGCTGAAAAAAACGAGCTTTGAGCTAATATTGAGTAACAATATGATGCGTTCAAACTCAATTCAGTAAACATTTTGGAGAAAGAAATCTTGTAAAAATGTGTATGTTAGTAAGAAAGTACAGTTGTTTCACAGCAGTATAAACTAGATAATAGAATATATTATGAACTGTGTAACTACCTTACTTGCTCTTAGCAGCTTATAATACATAAATCTAACTTTTTTTTAACCAAAGCAAATATTCAAATGGAAAAAAACCATTTCGTATCATTTGAATAGTTTTTTTTACGCAAATAACTATAGATGACACTGACAAAAATGACATGTACCAAAGGCATTACTATATACATGACTGTTTATAAAAAGTATAGTGGAGTGCTGAAAAAAAGTTTGCAACCATAACCATGTATACCAGCTTATATAAAAATAACAATAAGAAAATGATTGGTAAATCAGCAAAGCAGCGTCATCCGGAAAAAAACATGATTGGTTCATCTCTCATTTAAGTGGCACCGAATGCTAATAAGAGTTTGACTACCCAAATATTATGTAACATTCGGAAATCACAGAGCAATGTCATATTTATTAAGCTAATGTGCCAGATTTAAACCTCTGTAATTATGATACACACAGACCTGCAAAAAGACGGTGGAGTGTGTCTACTGTCACAAAATCGCGATGGTGTCCTCCACCATCATGGAAAGAGACCAAAAGGGCAAAGTCCAGCTTTACTGTTCGTCTCCATGTGTTGAGCTGAGTCGACCCCCCCAACACATTCTCACTGGTAGGACACAGACACACAACCACATGTATTAAAGGGGCCCTATCATGCTTTTGGGGTTTTCCCTTTCCTGTAGGGTGTTGTATAAGTTTTTGTGCAGGTAAATGGTCTGCATGGCTCAAATCCCTGTGTTCCCTCCAGAGGGAGTTTGTCTCCCACACATAGTAACACCATTATGTAACACTTGCGCTTCTAGTGGCTTAGGGCTCCAACACACTGTACATGATAGGCTAAAGAGCGGGACATCTCTAAGCAGTTGACTAATCACAACAGCTAACCAATCAAGAGCAGACTGGGCTCTGGTTTCAGACAGAGGGTGAACATAGGTGGTGCAGCACAGGCAGTATGAGAAAAATAAAGAGCTTTTTGAACATTTAAAGAATGGACACATGTCACAGTAGAGACACAACATACAAATATGAACCTGAAAATTAGCATACTAGGACCCCTTTAAATGTATAACAGGTGGCTCATTACTTTTCTTTAATGAATAGGGTTTAATCTTCTTTTACAGTGTGTAGCTTCAAGCACCTCCAAAGCATGGAAAAGGGAAAGCATGTTTCATTATTAGTTAAAACACATACTACATAGCATTTTTTTATTTAGTTTTTTATGTTATCTTTTTCCCTTAGGTGCTGCGTTCCCCTGCTGCGAGTGTAACGTGTCGGCTGTTCCTCAGTATCACCTGGCCATGGTGGACGGAACCATCCGCAACTTCTGCTCCTACGACTGCGTTTCTATCTATAGGGTAAGAACAGTTTTGTTTCTAATCGTGGAGCATGTGTTGGTTTTGTAGATTTGACATTGGTGTAATTTTCCCCTCCATGTCTCCACAGAAGTCCGGTAACACCTCTCAGCCAGACCTGACCAATGGAACCCCCGCTCTCAGGGACCCCAAAGCAGGACCCTCTGCCGGGGCCAGCTCAGTCCCTCCCCTCCCTCAGGACCACCCGTCTTCGGTAGCCTTCCCGGGCCACCATCCCAGTCATACCTCAGTGCCCCCGCTCGAGCCTCCCTCCCAGGCCCCCGCCAAAACGCCTGCTGTTCAGCCTATGAAACCAACAGAAGGGGGGCCCAAGGACATATCCAAGCTGACCTGCCATCAGTGCAGCAAAGAGTTCAGCACAAAGCCGCTGCTGTTCAGTCACCAGGTAAGGAGCCCAGATCACATATTATGACTGCTGCTGAGTTGTCCAAAAAACAGATCCTATGTCTTTTCCTGACAATGTCTCTTTAACCTTCGAGAAAATTATCAAGGGTTTGAAGCAAAATGTGAAGGAGAAATTATTAGGACTGAGGTAGAAAAACTACAAAATTCAGTAGATGAACAACTAAAAATGCATCTCGATACTTTTTTGTTTGATGTGTGCTTTATAAACTTTGACAACAGTGAGAAATATATCAACTCATTAGCAGGGTTTGAATTCCAATTAAAGAAATTAAAGGGAAACTTAATGATTGCTCGCGCTCAACCTCCTGTCAACTCATTTGAATCAACATGAATCCCATTAGTATGAGCGTATGTATAAATTTGAATACTGCAAAATGTACGCATTATGCATAGCCTGTACGGCAGGGGTTTCTGAGCCACTAGATGGCGGGCCGGAACATAATCAAAGGCTTATTTAAGTAATTGATTGTTAAAACATGTGACACGTTCGAATGCTTGGGGGGGAGGGGGGGTGCTAGTGAACTGTCAACGGGGGGGAGCCTCGCTGCGGTGCCGCTGCGGCGCCGTTCTGTGATTCTACAGATTCTACAGATTGCCAGTCCGCCACTGCTCACAAGCTTATTAAGATCTAAAGCTTTAGTGCATTTTGAATCAATGCTGAGTATAGCCAAACTTGACCGAATGCTTCTCGTTTTGCGCCGTCCCGTTCAAATCACATTTCCATGCTCGCGCCAGGGCCGGGGGATGGGGTTGGGGTTACAAGGCTCGCGTCTTGTGCTGCATTCACTTGCACTCTGACATTAGGGATTTTCTCTCATAAATAGTAAACATTACGTTTGAATGATTTAGTGAGCTGGTGTTATTTTTTTCAAACCACAAACTGCATGTTGGCTATTTCAGCACCACGCGCTGTCCACCTACTGCCAGATTGTGCCTGTGCTGTGTGTCATTCACTCTCAACATGGATAAAAGTACAATAAGCACTCTTCAGGTGTAGGTAGATTCTCTATTCGGACATTATAGCCTATATGTGCGACTGTCGGTTTTATTTTATTCTCAAAATAATTGTCCAAATGGACCAATCCGTGGAGCTCCTCACACACACATACACACTCTCAGATGGGGGTGCTGCAGCCCCCTTCATCTAGATAATTCAAACAGCTCTTATCATGGCTGACACATCTGTGTCCTTCCCAAGCAAATAAGAATATTCAACTGCAACATTAAGTCTGAAAATGTACCCTTTTCCCAACCTGAATGACGAGTGTGCCTCTCATGATGATAATATGAATTGCTTCCTGCAGGCCAGTATTTCTATGTTCTGCAGTGAGATGTGCTGTGACCAATATATAAGCCAGAAGAATGTCCTGATGCCGTGCGAGATCTGCAAACGTGAGAAGCGGCTCCATGACACCATCTGCTACAACCAACAGGACCTGTTTTTCTGCAGTGTCGGTGAGTCAATGTTTAAAAGTATTCCTCGGGAAGGCTTGTAACCTTAAAGCTGCTTTTGAATTTCAAGTTAAATAATATCCTCAGTTCATATGAAGAACCTCTTGAGAATAAAAAAAGAATCCTTTTCAGTACTGATTTTAATTTATAGAATTGCTAATTTTCAGGTTTCATATTTGTATGTCGTGCCTCTACTCTACATGCTTTAAAGGGGACCTATCATCCACAATGCCCTTTTTGATATTTTGTATACATAAATGTGTCCCCGGTGTGTCAGGGAACTCACGGAGCGTCAGAAAATAAAACCCTCTCACTTTTCCTCCTTACCCAAATCTAAAAACGGAGGTACAACGGAGCTGATCCAGATTTGCATCCGATATGACGTAATATCGGAAATGTGGACCCGCTGCATCTAATTCAGAACGCTGCTGCTTGAGTCCTCACTAACACTAAGAAAGTGGATCACATCACTCCAGTTCTGAAGTCTTTACACTGGCTTCCTGTGTGTCAAAGAATAGATTTCAAAATACTGCTGCTGGTTTATAAAGCTTTGAATGGTATAGGCCCAAAATACATTTCTGACCTCCTGCTAAATTATGAACCATCCACAAATCTCAGGTCTTCTGGGACGGGTTTGCTTTTTGTCACCAGAGTCAGAACTAAACATGGAGGAGCAGCGTTCAGTTATTATGCTCCAAATATCTGGAACAAACTCCCAGAAACCTGCAGGTCCGCTGCAACTCTGACTACTTTTAAATCCAGGCTGAATACTTTTCTTTTTGTCGCTGCTTTTAATTGTGCTATTCATATCTTAGACTGCACTGTAACTTTTATCCATGTATTTTTTATTTGAATGTTTATTTGATTATCTTTCCTTTTTAATGACTGTTTTTAAATGCACTTTGAATTACCTTGTTTTGAAAGGTGCTATATAAATAAACTTGCCTTGCCTTGCCTTACTGGAGAGAGTATGTGTAAAAAAGCAGGAAATAAAAAAAGTTACTCACCTTGTGGTAAAAAGCATTTGAGTTCCATACTGTTTCAGAAATAATCCTTGCTGTGGTTTGGAACATGATATGGCATTTAATCTCATAGAATTCTGAGCAGGCACAAGCTCCCCCTCCTCTTCTTTCTTTTTCAAGCTAAGGAGCCCGAATCAGCACTTCTCTAACAGGGCTGAAATAGAGGGATATGAGGGATTTCTAAAATGCATTATCTGTTTGGTATTTTGAGCAAAACACATCATAGTCATGTTTTTTATATTTTTTTATATATCTGAGACCCATAATATATGCCTAAAAATAGCATAATAATAACTTTAATGTTCAAAAAGCTCTTTATCTTTCTCATACTGCCTGTGCTGCAGCACCTCTTGTCACCCTCTGTCTGAAACCAGAGCCCAGTCTGCTCTGATTGGTTAGCTAGCCAGGTATGTTGTGATTGGCCAACCACTTAGAGTTGTCCCTCCCCCTTAGCCTGTACGCACAATATTTTAGAGTGCTAGCCAATAGAAGCGCGTGTGTTACATGGTGATGTCACTATGTTATTGAAGTAAACAAAGGAGTCCAATGGAGGCACTGAACACTGGGAGTTTACAGTTCACAAGCGTGCTCTTCCCCACAATTTGGGGTGTACACCACCCCAAATTGATCATGTTGTTGATAGTGCTACAGATGCCCTGCGAATAAAATTAGACTCTGTTGCTCCTTTGAAAAAGAAGAAAATAAAACAACATAGATTAGCTCCATGGCATAATGCCGAAACCCGCAAAATAAAGCAAAAGTCGAGACAACTTGAAAGGATATGGCGTTCCACTAAACTTGAAGAATCTTGTTTAATTTGGCATATTACTCTCAATGAATATAAGAAAGCACTGCGTAAAGCGAGAGCAGCCTACTACTCTTCATTAATAGATGAGAATAAGAATAATGCAAGATTTCTTTTCAGCACTGTAGCCAGGCTGACAGAGAGCCACAGCTCGATTGAGCCTTCTATTCCCACAGCACTCAGTAGTAATGATTTGATGTGCTTTTTTAACGATAAAATTGTTACTCTTAGAAACAAAATTAATGACCTCTTGGCTCTGACCAGTATAGTGTTATCAACAGCTCCCGGAAACGTAAGTTCTAATATTACACTAGACAGTGTTGTAGTCAAGTCACCAATTCACGAGTCCGAGTCACCCAATGAGTGTCCGAGTCGAGTCCGAGTCATCATTACCTGTGTTCGAGTCCAAGTCCGAGTCACCTAAGAAGAGTCCGAGTCACAAGTCTTCATGTATTAATCTTCGTGGATATATGTGTTGAAATGTAGCTGCTCCTCTACATTGCTTTTATCCTGTCATGTTATACTAATCTGTCTATTGAACTGCTGTGAAGCGAGTTTGGCTAAAATTCTTCTATAGTACTATACAAATATAAAGCTTATTACTAATATTAATATTATTATTATAAATGACCTATAATATGTCTAACTATATTTAAAATGAGTTACCTTTTAGAGAAGTGATTATATTTGTATGCCAATATTTTCCTGAATCTTTATTTATTGATTAGATCACGTTACTCTGATGATAGTGTTCAAGACAGCCTATATGTCTGAACTCGATCCTTAGAGTAATGTGTTACGGAGCCTTCTCGTCAATATTTTTTCCACATAATGAGCATTTTGCGCTGCTCTTTTCCTATGTGGAAGCAGAATGTGTGAAAGCATACAGCACGATGCGGGGTGTGTCTCTAGACATCTTTAGACTGGAATAGCGGGGCCCAGTACGTGAACTCACCTCACAGGTGCACACGCCAGGATAGAGGACATCAGACTCCAGAGAAAACTTGCTGGAGTCCAAGTCGGAGCGTCAATGTACAAGTAGAGTCCGAGTCATCGTGGGGGGGAAACATTCACGAGTCCAAGCCATCGTGCGAGAGAATTCACAAGTCTGAGTCGCGTCAATCAGTGTGTGAGTCCGAGTCGAGTCCCGAAAATCGGCACTCGAGTCCGAGTCAAGGATTCGAGTACTCCATCTCTGACACTAGATAGTAAATTAGAATGCTTTTCAACCATAAACCTTGAACAATTGAATTCAATGATTCTTTCCTCTAAACCATCAATGTGTATCTTAGACCTGTTAAAGGAAGTTTTTATATTAATTAACACTTCTTTATTAAATATTATGAATATGTCTTTATTATCAGGCTATGTTCCACAATAATTTAAAGTAGCAGTGATAAAACCTCTTCTTAAAAAGCACAACCTCGATCCAGAGGTTTTAGCCAATTATAGACCTATTTCTAATCTTCCGCTCCTCTCAAATTCTTGAGAAAGCGGTCGCAAAACAGTTGTGTGACTACTTAAAAAAACAATGATTTATTTGAAGATTTTCAGTCTGGCTTTAGAACACATCATAGCACAGAGACAGCTCTGGTTAAAGTCACAAATGACATTCTAATAGCCTCAGACAAAGAACTTGTCTCTATTCTTGTCTTGCTCGATCTCAGTGCTGCATTTGATACTATCGACCATGATATCCTATTGCAAAGACTAGAGCACTTAGTTGGCATAAAGGGAACTGGTTTAGGTCCTATCTATCTGAACGGTCTCAGTTTGTGTGTCAACGATGAATCTTCCACACAAACCAAAGTTAGCCATGGAGTGCCACAGGGCTCAGTGCTTGGACCTATTTTGTTCACATTATATATGCTTCCGTTAGGCAATATTATAAGGAATCATTCTGTACATTTTCCATTGTTATGCAGATGATACTCAACTATATTTATCCATCAAGCCTGATTAATCGAATCTAAATAAAATTCAAGACTGCCTCAAGGACTTAAAAACGTGGATGACCTTACATTATTTGATGTTAAACACGGCCAAAACTGAAGTTATTGTACTCGGCCCAAATAATCTACGAAACAAACTATCTAAAGATATATTAACTGTGGATGGCATTAATTTGGCCTCCAGTGAGACTTTAAGGAATCTTGGTGTTATGTTTGATCAGGATTTGTCTTTTAACGCCCACATAAAATCAAACTCAAGGACCGCCTACTTCCATCTACGTAACATTGCACAAATCAGGCATATCTTGCCTCTGTTATGCCCAGGCCTAGGGGAACCTAGGCGCAGCATAAAGTTTGCTCTCTCCCCACTTTTCCCACTCTCAAGACAAAGGCAGAGACAGAGAATGTCGTTTGGTACATTTCATTTACCAAATCTGAATCAAACAAATATACTTTCACAACAAAAAGAAACATGCTGAAAGTCTGATACCAAAAATAAACAAAACAGGAGTAACAAAACCACAAAAACAAACTAACCTTTAACACAAAATCTTACCTAATAGAGAAAAATAAATGTACAGGCTTCTTACCTACTCTAACTTAAAACAGGAGAAAACCAACAATCCAAAAGGGAAAAAGAAAAGGGTTTGCACTCCTGAGAAAATTAACCCGTCTACAAAGACAGGTAAAGTAAAAATAGCTGGGTGTACCAAGAAGTCAGTTAAGTCGCTTCAGCTAATTCAAAATGCTGCAGCACGTGTACTAACCAGAGTTAGGAAAAGGGACCACATTACTCCAGTTTTGGCTGCCTTACACTGGCTCCCTATAGAACACAGGATAGAATTTAAAATTCTTCTTCTCACCTACAAAGCCCTTAATTGGCAGGCGCCATCTTACCTTAAAGAACTCATTATACCCTACTGTCCAACTAGGGCATTGCGTTCCAAGAATGCACGGTTGTTGGTTGTTCCTAGAGTCTCTAAAAGTACAATGGGAGCCAGAGCCTTTTCTTTTCAAGCTCCACTTTAGTGGAATCAGCTTCCAGTTTGTGTTCGGGCGGCAGACAGCCTATCCGTTTTTAAGAGTACGCTTAAGACCTTCCTTTTTGATAAAGCTTATAGTTGATAAAATAATCTAATAAGAGTGCATTGACGTAGACACGTTGTGCCTCTTCACCTATACATTTGAGTTCTTACTCTTTTTCCTTACTGATGGTATGTAATTTGGTTGTGTGTGTAGATGGTGGAAGCAGGGAGAGGCATATACGTGCCTTGATCCCTGCCAAGTCGACACACAACTGTTGATTGGTGTCAGTGCCAACAAAACTTTTTCGGAGCAATGCGCTCATGGTATAGATGTGGCACATACATCTTAGTTCCTACTCTTTTCCCCTCACCCTATCCTAAGGGAGTGCATGTACTTAGACACATTGTGCCTCTCCTAGGGGTGTAACGGTATTCGTACCGTCACGATTCGGACGTCACGGTTCGGCACATGCAGTCACACTCATAGACTGGTCACACTACGAATACGCCTTTTTTTACGAGTGGGAAAAAAGTCTGTCATTCAGGGGAGTATCCATTACACTATTTATAATCCAGGGGGCGGTATTGCGCCTAAAAGCTGTTTGCCAGCCGCCCTTAAACAACAAATGAAGAACAAGAAGAAACGCAACAATAAAACGAACAAAATACAAGAAGAAGAAAAGTTAGTATGGCGATTTCAGATAACACACAGGAGCTAGAACCCACCTGCTTCTTTTAAATCAGCTGTGTGGGAACATTTCGGGTTCCCTGTGGACTACAATAACGATGAGGTGTGCGAGTGGTGACGAGGACGATGTGTCGGCGTTGTTAGACAGCGGTGCGGTATGCTAATGGTAACACACGCCAAACATTTTAAATCATATCAGAAGGCATCACCCAGATTTGCCAATCACCGGAGCCCGGCCGAAAGACAGCAGCAGTTCAGCAGCTGATCCCCGCTGTTTTTGATAAACCAATAGGCATGAAAGCAGTGAGACCAAAATAAATAACGGAAGCTTTTGGCATATGTTTTTCAACGGCTATGCGCTCTTGAAACACCTTCTTATTATTTATGATGTAATATTTTCAAGACATTCTTTTTAGTTTTACAGCTTGATGAAACCTTTTTGTTTGACATCAGCCATTATAGATAATATGGCCATCTGAGTGTGGTACTGTTTGTGGTTTGTTTTTAACTGTTTAATACAGTTAATTATTCAAAATGTCAGAGTTCCTTATTTTTAAACTGAAACTTGCACTACTGTTCAAAAATAAATAACAAACCTGGAATTATGCATTTGGGACTTTTTTTTTGCTTTTTCTTGTTGTACCGAACCCGTACCGAACCGTGACCCCCAAACCGAGGTCCAAACCAAACCGTGACTTCTGTGAACCGTTACACCCCTAGCCTCTCCACCTCTGTTTCCTACTTCTTATTTGCTACCCTTTTCCCTCAACCTATCCTAAGGGAGTGCATGTACGTAGACACGTTCGTTTAGCTGCTTTAGGCTTAGACTGTCGGGGGACACCTTACTTCTTCCTTCTGTCTGTCTGTACCTGTGTACTCTCCATCTTCTTATTATAGACGCATGCATTTCCAAACATTTGGCCTACCTACGCTGTAAAATGTATTATCTTTTCAATTTACACATGGCATCTATTGCACGTCTGTCCGTCCTGGGAGAGGGATCCCTCCTCTGTTGCTCTCCCTGAGGTTTCTCCCATTTTCCCTTTAAACTGTGGGTTTTCTCTGGAAGTTTTTCCTTGTACGATGTGAGGGTCCAAGCAGTGTTTCCCCTACCATTGTCTTGGAGGGGCGCTGCGCCCCCCCTGAAATTCAAGGTGTTTTAAAAATATATATATAATATGTGTGTGTGTGTATATATATGCGTGTGTATATGTGTGTGTATGTATGTATGTATGTATGTATATATATATCAGTCTGCAATGTTCAAAACAACAGATAAAGCCAGAAATCTAGGTGTAGTCATGGACTCTGACCTGAGTTTCAACAGTCACATTAAAACAGTTACTAAATCAGCCTACTATCACCTAAAGAATATATCTAGGATTAAAAGACTAATGTCACAGCAGGATTTGGAAAAACTTGTCCATGCTTTTATCTTCAGTAGACTCGACTACTGCAATGGTGTCTTCACAGGTCTCTCTAAAAAATCTATTAGAAAGCTGCAGCTGATTCAGAACGCTGCTGCTCGAGTCCTCACTAACACTAAGAAAGTGGATCACATCACTCCAGTTCTGAAGTCTTTACACTGGCTTCCTGTGTGTCAAAGAATAGATTTCAAAATACTGCTGCTGGTTTATAAAGCACTGAATGGTTTAGGCCCAAAATACATTTCTGACCTCCTGCTAAATTATGAACCATCCAGATCTCTCAGGTCTTCAGGGACTGGTCAGCTTTCTGTCCCCAGAGTCAGAACTAAACATGGTAAAGCAGCGTTCAGTTATTATGCTCCAAATATCTGGAACAAACTCCCAGAAACCTGCAGGTCCGCTGCAACTCTGACTACTTTTAAATCCAGACTGAAGACTTTTATTTTTGTCGCTGCTTTTAATTGAACTATTCATATCTTAGACTGCACTGTAACTTTTATCCATGTATTTTTTCTTTTAATGTTTATTTTATTAGCTTTTCTTTTTAATGACTGATTTTAAATGCAATTTTCTTAATGTCTTTCATTTTTTGTAAAGCACTTTGAATTGCCTTGTGTTGAAAAGTGCTATATAAATAAACTTGCCTTGCCTTATATATAGCACCAAATTGCAACTAATCTATATCTACTGTCACTTTTCACATTGAACATGTGCTCTTTTATTACATAAACTAAACACTTTCATTTTAAGTTGTGAGTTTAGTGTTTTTGACCCTAAGAAACACTGATGCATTAATCAATAACAATAATCCACAGCTCCTCTCTCTGCTTCTGAGGATTTTAAAAAGATATATCCCAACCCCCCCACTCAAACAGCACCCCCCCAAAGCAGTAAACCTAGGGGAAACACTGGTCTGAGGACAGAGGGTGTCGTATTGTCATACTGATATTCTGTACAAACTATGAAGTCCACTGAGACAAATGTAACATTTGTGATATTGGGCTATATAAATAAACATTGATTGATTGAGTTTACTCTTTGCAGAACATTGACATATACAAAAACCTATAGAACACACTACAGGAGAGGGAAAAGCCCCAAAGAGCATTATAGGGCCCCTTCATTTTGTGATTTTATTTGATCTTTTAAGTGTGGTGTTTTCTTTACGTATTTCGACATGCACATGTAAAGTCTCTTTGAGTACCAAAATGTATTATTATTATTAACCTGGTCAATCATAATCGCCCCATTTTTGTATTAATGACACTAATAATAGTCGCCCTTTCTGTGTTCCAGACTGTAAATCCGTGTTCAAACATGAGCGGATGGCTCTATGCAAGGATTCCTGCAGCTACTGCTCCGGCTTCAGCACCAAGATGCTGCACAGCCACTATGGAGGCCGGATGGAGGAGTTCTGCAGACCCCACTGCATGTCCCAGTACACTGTGCTCTACTATGGGGTAGGCTGTCCTTCAACTTTACACGGTGTGCCTGTCTGTTAATCCACCGGTTATTTAAAAAAAATCTTCTTTCCCCTTTCTTTTCTCCCCTTCTGCTCTCCAGATGGGTCGCTGTGACAGCTGCAGGAAACAGGGCTCCATGACGGAGAAGCTGCAATGTTTGGGTTCAGTCCGTAACTTCTGCAACCTGCCCTGCCTGCTGCAGTACTGCCAGCTGCACTTTGAGACCAGCCACAGCAGCAGCAACGGAACAGGAACTGCCCCACAAACTCCATACGGTAAAATCAGTGTGACACATTAAGATATAGAGCAGCAGTCTGAAATCCAACAAACCTAAAACAGTATTTTTCACAACATTCAGCTCAAAAGGAGCAGATAAAGCTAGTTTGCCATGGGATGTAGGAGAGATTGTTCTGTAGGTGCCTGGTTTAGCTAAGCAACAACCATGGTTAGAGAACATCAACATACTCTTCAAATGAAGTGAAAACCACCATGCTCAATCCGCACCGTTTCCATCATGTTTTGGAGTGCATACAGGGATGATGGAATAGAAGATGAAAAGAAAAGCTGTTATCTCACAAGTTAATAACTTTGGAATGTTCCTCTCTCCTTCCAGCTCCAACACAGCCCCACAATTCCTCAAAGATGAATCCTGTCATCGCGGATGTGGTTTCTCTGGCCAACGGCTCTGCCACTCAGCCCAGTGTTTCAGCAGACACTGCTCTAACTGGTCAGTTATTTTACTTACATTAGTTAGTGCCGTATAGAACAGTTTAAAGCTTTATTTATAGTGTTGACATCAACATTTGAATGCTGTCTATCCATTATGATTAAAGTCACTATTTCTGCACAGATTCACATTAGACAATATTATTATTAGTCTAATTTTATTTGTAGGATTACATTGAAGTGGCTGCGTATCATTGGTTCTGACTGATCCAAACATTTCTAATAACGTTCAGAGCGTTTTTAAGTCCAAAAGTGATAATTCATTAAAAAAAGATCCAATAATTTCCAAAGATCCACACTTTTTTAGCAAAGTACTTAAATTATGACGTTATTAACCTCCATTCGCCTGGCGCTTAATGCTAAGTTAAGACATCTTCACTTTCTTTACAAATGTAGGGAGCAAGTTTATAAGCATTCAAAGTGGATTTACAAAATTTAATTTTATCCAAAACATTCCTTTTTTTTTTCTTTTTTTTTAAAATATGTATGGGTGATGACCTAATAAAATATAACAATGCTAACATTTTAAAACATTTGGTACAGCTTTATTTAAAGCCACAACACTTGTTATATTTTTATAATATGCATATGTCACAGTGGGGTTTGATGCAGTGCTGATTTATTTGTATTTTCTCTTTTGTAGGAACACTTCCAACCACCAACATTGACGCCAAGAATCTAGACCACGTAGGTACCCTGGGTGTGCGTGTCATGGCTAAAAAATGTTACACTATTGATAATAATATTAGAACCAAAGTCAGTGCCCACATTTCTTTTTCTGAAAATGTTTGATCTGGTCAGAAATAAAACTATTGTCCCCTGCAGCATGTGACTTATTAAGAACTAGATCATATCTTAATTTAATTTAGCCTTTTTTCAATTTGTAATTTCCAGGCCAGCACTCAGACTGACGCCATGCAAGGGCCTTCGTCCCGTCGCCGTCAAATGAAGAACAAGTCAGTTCTGTGTCGGCCCTTCACTATGGACCAGGAGAGCATGTGCCAGCTGCTCTCCCCCTCTGCTGAGTCAGCAGGTAACTACAGAACACACACACACGTTTGGGTAGCCCTGTCCCACCTCACTCACACAGGATACAGAACTAACAACTATTTCAATAATCCAATAATCTGCGGATTAATACTTTGGTTGATCAATTATTATCAGATGAAAAGACAAAACGCTACATTTGTTTCCTACAGGGTTTTATTAAAAAACAAAACGTATTCCTTTTCTGCTTGTACTATCCTCTTTCACAACAGTAACTTAATGTACTTTTACCCCAATGGGTAAATGTACACTTAATGTGTAAAATCTGTTTCCTCTGGAATATTTGTGAACGATTTTTACTGACAAACGCACGCTAACAGGTTAGAATGGACAGAAATGCCTTTTGTCTGTTTTACCTCTATTTTGAAAAAGATCAATGTAGCTGGCCATTAAAAAATAGCTTTCTCAGGGGGCCGGCTACATTGATTTATAAAAAACGGGGGAAAAAGACAGAAGGAATTACTCTCTGACTTTGCAATGGTTAGTCTCTCCATACACAATGATTCCAAATACTCACTCCACAGATACATTTAGTCATCACCTGAGCTTATCAGTAGTATCCAAATTCTTATATACTATTTGTTTAAAATACTATTCATGAATAATTGTTATGATAGCACTCATAGAGGTAGACCCTTTCCTCTGGGCCATGGCTGGTGTGCCTTTTTGTTGGGTGTTTGTCACAACCCTACTCACCATCTAATTCAGTTTCATTCATTCTTTTGGTGCTATCAATCGTTCGATGTTCACAACTAGCTGTTTCGATAGTTGCAGCAGCTCTGCTAGATAGCTCCTCTCAACCCGACCAGACATCTGCGGAAGCTTCCACATCTCCATCACCCAACCCTCAGGGAGAAACTCAGCAGAGCGACGCCGTGCCTGCACGACTAACCGGACGCCATTTCCTGGGCAGAAGGGAGACGGACTCTGACTGCAAGGTCTGCTCCCAACACAAGAGGAAGAGGGTGGAGGAAGAAGAGCAGCAGGAGGAGAAGAAGAAGCAGAAGATGGAGGAGGATGGGCGGACGGAGAGAAAAACAGAAATAGAACCGGAGGAGGGAGTAAAGGATGAGAACAACGGGGAGAACAAAGAGCAGGAACATTCAGAGGTGAAGCTTTGTGAGCAGGAGGGCGGGACTTTGAGGAGGAAGACGTGGTATTTCTGTAAGACGTGTTCAGGGGAGCCCAGCCTCTGTCCTGTCCCCTGTTTTGAACTCTACCACACCAGACTGATCTACAAAACGGCTCCTGGACTGGAAGCACAAGGTGAGCCTTCTGAGTCCCACACCGCATGAACACTTTCTCATGTGAACACCATGAAATAGTTTCCTTTTTAAGTTATCATTTGAACAGCTGTATCTATGATTTAAGGATTCCAATTTCAAGGGACAGTTCACATCCAACTCACATATTTTCCCTCTTACCTCTAGGACAGTGTTTCTCAAACTTTTTCATACCAAGGACCAGAGTTGGGTGTAACGCGGTACAAAGTAACGTGTTACTGTAATAATATTATTTCTGTTGGTAACGAGTAGTGTAACGCGTTACTTTTATAATTATGTTATCACACTACAGTTACTAACATTGCCCCGACACGCGTTACTTCGTTACTTTTATAAAATAATCACACTCACTGACAGACAAGAGGGGTTTCCGCCGCAGGTTTATATACATGTAGGCCTATGTAATCTGCGCGATTTGCGAGACCACATCTCCACGTGCAGTGCTGCATAAACATGGCTGAGTCTTTTCATCTGTAAACTTCCTCAACGGCGCCGCTCGCTCTCTTTTGTTGATCGCCCTCTCACGGGTGAACAGTTCAATGTCCCGCTTCATTGTAGGAATTCTGCAATGTCTCTACCACTTTAGTTTGACCATCTCTGTTACTAAGTTATGGAATACTAAATACACAAGTAATTAGATACCTTACCGTTACTGCGCTCATAAAGAATGATAAGAATAATGCGTCTTGAACTGGTTTAATTAATTAGTGTCTTGACGTTTCACAGACTGTTAGCTTGTTGTGGTAGGCTGGTAGCCTATTTTAGAGCATATAAAAAGAAAGACTTGTGTTAGGCTATGTCTTTTTTAATGCAATAGTAATTGGGGGTGCAAGTGGAGTCTCGCAGAGGCAAAACTGTGGCGCGCCGCAGTCTGCGTGATCTGCCTGTAGGGAGGGGCGGGCCGGCCCTGCGAGTAAAGTAACGAGTAAAGTAACGAGTTACTTTATCTAGAGAGTAACGAAGTAGTGTAATATATTACTTTTTTTTAAAGTAATATGTAATATATTACTTTTTTTTAGTAACGACCCCATCTCTGCCAAGGACCACTTAACCAATAAAAAAAACACTCGCGGACCACCTAACTCAAAGTGTGGTCCGCGGACCACACTTTGAGAAGCACTGCTCTAGAGCTATTTATTCATCTGTATTGTTTCTGGGTGTCAGAGCTATTGGCCATAGATATGTCTATATAACGAAACTAAACTGCACTCGGTTTGTGGCGCTCAAAGCCCAACATTTTTTTATTTGACATACATTTCCAGACCCTAACCTGCTAGATGTTAAACATTAATGGCGTCCTCCTCTGATTACCGATGACGTTAGCTAGCGGAGAAGATGCACACTTCCTGCTGCAGGGCGATACCATTGATTGGGGTTAATTGGTAGTTCCTTAATCAAACTGCTGTGAAAAAAGTGTGTTGATTGTGTCATGTCTTTTGAACAATGCATTTTCTGAGATTTTACATATACAAAATAAATAAATTAGAACTGTTCAAATGAGTTAGTGATTCATGTATAATATAACATTTCTGAAGTTCCATTATATAGAAAAATCGTAATCTTCATTTAAAAAAAAAAAAATAGCACTACAGTTAAGAGGAAAAATGTGAATTTAGATTTTTGCCGTGAACTGTCCCTTTCAATGCAATGTCAATCCTAGAAGCAACAATGCTCTGACACAATCTGCTGACATCTCTGTGTCTTCTTTCCAAGTCAATTGAACTGACTTCCTAAGAGGGTCGAGTGCATCACCCGGGTCTTTCTCTCCACAGCCTCCTGACCTGCTGCTGGAGAAGTCGTCGCCCCCCACCCCACCCCGAGCCCTTCGACAAAGAATAAACCTCTCCAGGATTAACGGGTTCACACCTTCACTCCTTTGCTGTCCTCCATGTTTGTGCCTGTCTAAATCCACCCCTGCAAAGACAGAAATTAATGTTTTCCAGCATTGACATGAATTTGGCAACATGTTTAAGATAGAGATTGCATTATTTATGAAGTACAGATCATCTTGGCTGTCTGTTTCCTCTTCCAATAAAGGGTATTTATTCTGTGTTTTTATTCTGACTAACACTATGGATGAGAAAAGTTCCTCAAGTGCTTCAATGAATTACAAGATGTTCTCTTATTAAAGTACCTTTTTACCTCAATCTGCCACAATACTTGACCCTGTTATTAAAGCTGATCTTAGAACATGTGTCAAGTGTCTTAAAACCTGTCATTTCTTTATTAAGTGAGTTGTGTATGGTTTGTTAATGGACAGTATTTCTACAAAAACACAAACAAGTATGTTTTTACAGCAACCATTCACCCTGATGTGTTTTCACACCCCACTTGACATTAGTCTTTCACTGTCTCACTACAGCAGCAGAGATGCATCATGCCATCTGATCCTTACATTTATTAAGATCACTTTTGCCCAGATGCTAAACAAATTGGTCACTGTAAAGAATTAAGGTTGGATATTTTTAAGTGGGAGGCAAGATTTCCTTGGGGGGGCTCAATGAATGAAAATGCAAAAATGTATCATTAACCATCCAAAAAAAAAAAATCATAAAAAGGCCTAAAAGTGGGTTGTTTGGTTTAATAGTCCCGAGAAACAATATAAAGTTTGGAGGTGCTTTCCCACTTTCCAGGAGTCAAACTAATAAATGCCTTACAACAGACTTTTTTTATAAATATATTTGATGTGAAGTAGTGTCGGATTGCAGAATTGCACTCTATAAAGTGTTCAGAGGATCACATAATACAATTATTATCTGAAAGGCATACAGAAATTTAGCAAAACTGGGCAATTTAACCTGCTTTTGGGGGGGGGGGGTTCTGAGCTTTTTAGGCCAAATACACTTTCACATTTTGAAATGAGTTCCTAATGTATGTCATGTACAGCAGGGGAAACCCATGCTTACAATGACACAAAATGTGCTAAACAAGGAAACACAGGTTCATTGAGTTGGATTCAGGTATGAGGCCCAAATCTGAAATCACTTGAATATTTTTGAAGTGTCTCTGTGAGTGAATTATACAGCTGGTTTTCAGTTCTCTTATTTGAACTGTTACACTACATATTGACGTTTATTATGAATGTGTGATGTAAGTTCAATTCCTTTCTGTACCTCATGCAGTAATGGTAACCAAGGTTGACTTCTACTCATCCATCTGTATCTTTAATTAACAATTTTCTTTTTCACACGTTTTTCAACTTTCTGTTATGTTTGTAGCTTCTCAAATGTAACAGATTTTTTTAATTTTTTTTTATTCCTTATTTTCTTTTTAGGATTACACTGACATGGATCAGTCTGTGAACGCATTAATTTGATTCTTTTTTTTTTATATTGTCCAAGCCTTGAAATTATGGTTTCGATCAAGGCAATTCACTTTTCTACGTTTCAATAAATTGAATTTGTGAGTAAAAGTTAGTTTTGTCCGGTGTCTTATTTCACAGATTTCTTCTGACCAAAGCCATCATAACTGTTAATGAAATGCTGCTAACACAAAACCAAGGGGAGACACATTAGTCCAAACCAAACTACCAAGAAGTATTTCACTTTGACCTTGGAAATAATTGCTGTCGTAATCATGGCTTTATGCAAGATATTACATTCCCTTGTTGTCTAGGGCAAAAGGGATGTAACAAAATATGAACTAACACTAGTTAAACTACTAACCACGTCCCACACAACACACTTCACAATCTGCAGAGGTCACACCGACAGCCATGCAGCTCACAGGAGGAGGGAGAGAGAGAGCAGCCTTCCTCAGCCCTTTATGCACCTGGAGGGAGACACACAAACATACCACGGCATGTAACACAAGACTTAAACTCGCTTACAGTTAAGCATCATTACACTTATTCGTAGGAAATATCAGTAGAAAGAGTTGTGCTCCAAATGTGAAATTACAGATTACCTCATGTTCATCAAAACGACACAGTGTGCTGATGAGAAATAAACGGTATAGATGGAGTTTTAGGCTGCAATAAAGACACACTTAATTATGTTGTCAATTGTTAACATGAATTTAAAAGATAGCAACATTTCTCTCATTTGTTTTTTCTTTAATTTCTGCATTATAAGAAAAATGATCTGTGATATTGTACATTTAAATGTGATATCATCTATGTATTTTAATCAATACAAATATAGTGATCGTGATTTTAACAGTATACTTTATTTAATAAAACCTTTGAAGTTGTATTAAATAAAAACGTAATTTTAAACAAACTGATTCCTCTTTTAATAAAAATATGTTCCCTTCAATTTTTGTGAAACTTTTTTTTTATGTTTATTTTTATATTTCCTCCTTATTTGTCTTACTGTTTATTTTTCCAATTGTATTAATTCAATTTGATTATTTCTGTCTCCCTTTCTCTCTCTATGTCTTCCTCCTGAACTCCCTCACCTCCTCCTCCAGGTGTGCTACCCCCCTCAATGAGTGTCTCAGTAGGGGGGGAGAATGTGAGGGTGTTACTGGTGCCAGTCCCAGTCCCAGTGCCCGTCTTCATCCCAGTGCCCATGAGCATGTACTCCCAGTACACACCTTTTCCAATGGCGATGCCTGTGCCCGTACGTCCTAATATATTCTAAGAAAATAGTTTTTTTTTCTGCAGAAAATGTGATGTAAACGTGTTCCTCCTGTTCCTCCCAGGTTCCAGTACCTATAGTAGTACCACCACAGAAGAAGGAGACGAGAGATGCTGCAGTGCAGTCAGAGCCTCAGGCTGTGACGGAAGAAAAACAGAGAGATGTTTCCACTGCAGGTGAGCAGCACAGAGTCCCTGTCCTAACATGGTGTATTACAACCATTTCAATCTGGATACAGTGGTAATATTCAGGAAAACTCTGATTTGACGAGATTAAAATTGTACATTTAATTAAAAGGTTAATAGATTCGGAGTGGAAATCTCGGCAAGCAGTGTGAGTTCTTAAAAAATATTAACTTTTTTTTGCTTTTTATCTTTTAAATGTATGTTGATAGAAGATTCACTTTGTTGTGTGCAGGTGAGGCTGCTTTTGTCCAGGTTTTTATGTCTTCAAAGGACACCAAAATGATCCGTTTTTTATCAATTACTCAAATCATGAAAGAATCAATTTTTTCTCGCATGACTCCATCATGAACAAAGAATCCAAGAATGGAGAAAGGTCTTTGAGAATTCACCTCAATGTACTAAACAAAAGCCAAACAATCTGTTTACAAACTCCAACCAAACTAACGCAGTATAATCCAAGCCTTATTTGAACAGTAGTATGCTCACTACTTCCTGAACACAATCATTGTTGCTAAAACATTACTTTTGAACTAGTTTCAGTGAATATGTGTTGGGGAAGAAGTGAACATATGACCGGATAATTGAGAAGTGTATTAAAAAGCACAATATGGTATAAGCAGATGTTTGATATAGATTTGCTATCTTCAGTTTTTATTTTTTTAAAGAGGACTTATTATGCAAATGTTCCGGTTCACATTTGTATGTAGTGTCTCTACTGGGACATGTCTCCATGCTTTAATGTTCAAAAAGCTCTTTATTTTCCTCATACTCCCTCTGCTGCAGCACCTCTTTTCACCCTCTGTCTGAAACCAGAGCCCAGTCTGCTCTGATTGGTTAGCTGGCAGGCTCTGTTGTGATTGGTCAAATGCTTAGAGAAGTCCCACTCCTTCTACAATATGTTGGAGTGCTAACCAATAGAAGTGCGACTGTTACATAGTGATGTCACTATGTTCAGAATTAAACAAATGGAGTGCAGTATAATCCAGGAATTAAACAAATGGAGGTGTTTCAGGCAGGGGGTGGAGTGTGTGGGAGACCAACTCTCTGGAGTGAACTTTGGAATTTTAGCCTTTGCAGACCATTGACATGCACACAAACCTATAACACACTACAGGAGGGAAAACCCCAAAAAGCATAATAGGGCCTCTTTAAATCATATAAAGCATGAGAGTGGATTGTGCGTTGGTGTTGGGATCAGGGGGTCACAGGTTCAAACCCCACTGCAGTCAGCATGTCGTTGTGTCCCTGGGCAAGACACTTCACCCCAAATGGCTTTGAATAAAAGCGTCTAACAAGTGACATGTAATCTAATGTAATAATCAAAAGCAAAGTCACCAATGTATTTTCCTCCATGTTTCTCTGTGTGCGCTACAGACCAGAGAAGTCCTCATAGTGGGGACATGGAGTCAGAGGTGGTCGCCCCCATGATCCGTGAAGTTGAAGAGACTGAAAAAACAGTACAGGCCGACCTGCCGCTAACTGTGAGTTCAGAGAGAAGCACGGAGTCATCTGATCCCCAACTAAGCACCCAGCCAGTGGTTACTACGACAACCAGCGAGCCTCCTACCACCAGTGCTGAGCTTCAACCTCCCTCCTCTCCATTGATGGACCTGGAGACTGATGTCCCAACTGGTGAGACGTCCTACTACTTCACATAAATGGGTTTGTTGGGGTAAAAACTGGATTTTATGCTGCTACAACTTTTGTTTGTTTCTGCAGAGTCGTTGGATCAGAAGCCAGCTGCTCCACAGAGAGGAGTGAAGCGATCTAGAGACCCTTACAGCAGCCGGAAACGGGTGAGATTCTGCTCAGAGATCAGCAAAAAACTTCAACATTTTGTGGCATTATAAAGTCACTTATTCACCACAAAAAAAATTGAGCAATGTAAGTCTTAGACAAAATTACAAAAAAGGATCTTAAATGACTTTATTTAACAAAGACAATAACGACAATTTCATCTTTTTTATTGTCAATTTCATATCAGTAAAATGTCTGACTTTTGCCACAAGAACATTTAGCTTGGTAGGGATTGGTTTAGGGATTAAAAAAGGTCATTGGTTTACAGATGAGCACAAGAGGCAGGAGTTCCAGATCATTGTTTTATTGTATATTATGGACTGTTGATTGTTTGCTGGTTGATATGGCAGAAAAAGGGGATAACACCTCACAGTTAGTTTACATATTATATTTATAGTTCAAGTATTATGGCAGCATAGACAATATTCAAGTTTTTTGTACATTAGTGAACTTTTCCATGAGAAGAGAATAGTCACTTTTGTTTTTACTTAAACTTTCTCTGATATTATCTCCCCTGGCTCCATAAGAATGTTTTACCTACCAAAGCCCCAAAACACTATCATATCATAAGTGTTCATAACCCAAATGTTTCAATTACGCCCAACATGCATTTTGTGCTCAAAGTCAATCTTTCATTGCATTTGAATCCATCTAGAGTCGAAGGCGTACTGGCTCCTTGAACCACAGTGCAGTGCGGACTCCCCCCGCCTCCAAACTGAACCACGTGTACGGGGTTAAAGCCTGGAGAAGCTGGGTCCAACAACAGAACCAACAGCCCACAAGATGTAAGACTTCGTTATCAACATCTAACCCAATGATTTGTTCCGTTTTAAACTGTTTTATTCTACACTAGTTGTATTTTGTGGTCTCTCCCCCTGCAGCCAACATGGTGGATGTTAAAGAGGACGTGCTTCAGTGTGACTCTGCTGAGCTCAGCTTCGCTCTGTCTCACTTCATCACTGATGTGAGACGGCCCAATGGAGAGACCTACAGCCCAGACAGCATCTTCTACCTCTGCCTGGGGATACAGCAGGTACACACACACACACACATGATATTGTTTCATTAGTTTCCATCTTGATTTCCGTATTTCTATAAGGCAGAAGTACAGAGAAGTTGGCATCGCAAGGGCTCCCATTATAAACGCCAATCAGAATTCTCCATTGGATTTTGGAATATTGAATAAAAACTAAGCTATGAGGCAAACACACGTTTATGATACTAACACATTTTTTTCAGCAGGATCATCTCCACATATTAACAAACCTTTTATAAAAGTTGAATCGTCAATGCAACAGCCAGAAGTAAATAAGGTAATGCTAAGCTATAAACGAACTACATGACGGTTAACTACATGACCCCCATCGCCTACTCCCCCTAAGCTAAAGGCAGCTAATGTTCGGCGTGATGACGTTTAATAGTTTAATTAAGCCATGTGTTAGCAACTGCAGTTTTTCTGACACATAGAAGCTTCAGACATTCACCAGTGGGGTATTAACTGTATTTTATGTCAGAGAACTATCTTATATTTAACCAAAGCTCTTATTTTAGGCATCTAACCAAATACACATGCTATGCTAAGTCATGCTTACTAATGCTAACTCATTTCCAGGTATTAGGACTTCCTGCAGCACCCATTGATTTCCCCTTCTTTTCTTCTTCTCTTTGGACAGTATCTGTTCTCAAAGGGCCGCATAGAGAACATCTTCACTGACGAGCTCTACAGTCAGTTTACCACCAAGATCAGCGGGATGCTGCAACTCTGGAAACCTAAACTACTAGTACCGAGTGGTAATATCATAAAGTCATAGTGGAGATATTCATCAAATCACACCACAGTTTAATCATGTCTATTTTCTGAAATAACCAGTCAATGTATTTTCATTTCTAAATGTCTTCTCTGTATAAAATGTTTTATGTCAGTTATAGATTCAGATTATACAACTTTAAAGCTGCACTAGTCAATATTTAAATATTGACGACTACATGGATGTGTAATTACAGAATACTTTGATAACAGGTTCGCCATATCCAATTTATAAGTTGATAACATGTAGTGTTTACAGCGTGTTCTACTGGCCAGAGGTGGCCAAAGAAAATATGAATGGTTTTAAATATAAGAAGATTCTCCCAACTCTTTTTTATGCTTTTAAAAAATAATTTTAAACACTCAACTATTTACATGTTTTAGTTCTGATTTAAGATATTTAAAGGTATATTAGGTGAAATGTACAAAAACCTAGAGAAATCTGTAATTTCCTCTCAAGGTGCGCTTCACTTGGTTTATTATAGAGTTATATATTTCTTTCAGTTTTAATCTAATACACATTTCAGAACTTGGTCATTTTAAATTCTATATTTTAACCATATTACAGATTGTATTCATCGAATGCCTGGATCAAGTTATCAGAGAAATATGCAGAGCTAAGCTTGGTAAAATCCTGCTGAACTGTAAACACCACTAAACTCCGTATTTGTTCATGTTTGTTTTGGACAAACCCCGCCCCCTCCACCGTCCTCCTCCAGGTGCTGCAGTCTCCTCCCGGGTGGTGGAGTCCTACCTGTGGGAGTGTAAGCAGCTGGGCGCCTACTCCCCCATCGTGCTGCTCAACACGCTGCTCTTCTTCTGCACCAAGAACTTCGGCTTCACCACTCTGGAGCAGCACCAGAGCGTCTCCTTCACCAACTTCACCCGACTCTCCAAACCCTGCAACAAAGCCGGAAAAGTCCTCTACCTCCGATACCAGCGGAGCAGCAAGGACCCCCGCCACACAGGTACACTAAAGTAGAGGTTTTTTCTTCTTTTTGTATAATTTTGGTTTTTCTGAATGAGTTGGGGTTTAATTGCATAACAATTCAAATGTCAACATGACACCAAAAATTCTCAAAAAGATAAAGAATAAATGGTTGTCATCCCACTCATACTGGTCAAACAAACAACCACCACCCACCCACAGTAGAAGTAGAGTTTTTTCTATCCTGCTGAAATTCTTAATCTGACCGTATGTGGTGTAAAATATCAGGTATCCGTAATTGTTAGTATGACTACCTGAGTTGTGGTACTTTCTTTGTTTCCAGAACGATATAGAAAAAGGCAGGGAGAGGAAGAGATGCTGGAGATGCTTGAAAATGTCGCCAACCCTCTACACTGTCCTGTCAGGCTTTACGAGTTCTACCTCTCCAGATGGTGAGACACACACACACGCGTACATACACACACACACACTGAAAACACATCTATTTAGATTTGTTTTGTATTAGCAACAACCCCATTTAACTGCTCTTTTAATCTTTATTATTCTTATTATTTATTTTTGATATTGTTATCTTTCTTTCTTTATTTTATCGTTTTATTAGCGACATCCCCTTTTAAAATGGTCTTTTATTGTTTTTTTCCTGTTTTTTATTATTATAATAATGATAAATTGTAATTATTGTATTTATTTAATGTATTTATCGTATTTAATCATTTGGTCTTATGTCTACCTTTATTTTACAGAGAGAGATGATTATTTATTTGATTTGACTTATTCCACCTTTTACTTCCCTGGTTCCCTTGCACTGTTGTGTTATATTGTAATGCTGCATGTATGATTTGTGTAATGTTGTTAAAGCACTCTGAGCTGCACCTGTGTATGAAAAGTGCTATACAAATAAAGCTTATTTTTATGATTGTTATTGTTATTATTTTTATGATGATCCTCTCTGCTCTCTGACAGCCCGGAGTCGGTGCAGACGAGAAGCGACGTGTTTTTCCTGCAGCCGGAGGAGGTTGTGCACACTCACAGGTCAGTGTGTGCTCCAACATTAAAGAAACACACGAGTGACACATGAGTCTGTCACTTTATCGCCAGGGCTTTCTACCCGCCATTGTATTCATACTGTTTATATTTGTACCCTAATATGATGTTATGGCTTTAGGGTCAAAATGATCTGCCACTATGTTTAACAGCAGAGAAAAGAGGTCCCCTATACTGTTTTTCAACAATAGATTATAGGTCTCAGATAAATACAAAACATGTCTCTAAAGTGTTTGGGGAGGCTGTGGCTCAGTGGATAGAGTGCTGGACTTCGAATCAGGGGGTATCAAGTTTGAGTCCCACTGCAGTCAGTATGTCGTTGTGTCCCTGAGCAAGACACTTCACCCCAAATTGCTCCTGTGGGGATTGTCCACAGTATTGAGTATGGAAGTCGCTTTGGATAAAAATTGTCTAACAAAAAATGACATGTAATGTAATGTTTGGCTCGAAATACCAAACAGATCATTGCAGCATCCCATAAACCCCTCTGTTTCAGCCCTGTTTCAAAAGTGCTGATTCTGTGTCTGTAGCTTTAAATGCTAATGAGCTGCTGCTGGCCACGCCCCTCTGAGAGATGATTGGTTAAAAAACACAATGGAGGTCTAGGAAGGGGTTCCAAGTGATAAGGTGTTACCTATTGGTGATTGGCTAATGGTTGCACCACCCAAAAACATTGTGACATCACAAAGTGGCTAAAATCTGATCAGCTCATTTTCAGACAGGTTTTTATATAAATGGATCAGGACAAAAAGAGAGGGAATCTTTTTGTCCTGAAACTTTCTGAATCTCTTTACACAGAGGGGACACATGTTGATGCATAAAAGACATGAAAAAGTGGATTTTGAATAATAGGGAACATATAAATAATATATATTACATTACATGTTACTTGTTAGACGCTTTTATCCAAAGCGACGTACATACTCAATACTGTGGGCAATCCCGCCGAGCAATTTGGGGTGAAGTGTCTTGCCCAGGGACACAACGACATGCTGACTGCAGTGGGGTTTGAACCTGTGACCCCCTGATCCCAACACCAAGGCTCTATCCACTGCGCCACACACCTCCCGTATATATAATATAATATAATAATATATAATATAATTCCATATAAATAACCCCTATGGACTAAGTCTATCCTTACAGAAAGCCCATGATGAGGTTGTTTATAAACGACTCTATAACATTACATTACATTACATTTAGCTGACGCTTTTATCCAAAGCGACTTACAATAAGTACATTCGACCAGGAAGACACAACCTTGAAGAAAACAGAATCATATAAGTACATCAGGTTTCATTGAGCCAAACATTTCAAGTGCTACTCAACTGGCTTTAGGTAAGCCAGTCCTTTATTAGTATAAAAGTGCTTCGTTATAGTTCTAACGCTCGAAGTGGAGTCGAAAGAGATGAGTTTTCAGTTTGCGCCGGAAGATGTACAAGCTATCTGCCGTCCTGATGTCAATGGGGAGCTCATTCCACCATCTTGGAGCCAGGACAGCAAACCCACGTGTTTTCGCCGATGGGAACTTGGGTCCCCCTCGCAGCGAGGCGCAACGAGTCGTTTGGCTGATGCAGAGCGTAGTGCACGCGCTGGGGTGTACGGTTTAACCATGTCCTGGATGTAGGAAGGGCCAGATCCATTCGCAGCATGGTAAGCAAGTACCAGTGTCTTGAAGTGGATTCTAGCAGTTACCGGAAGCCAGTGAAGGGAGCGGAGGAGCGGAGTGGTGTGGGAGAATTTAGGAAGGTTGAAGACCAGACGAGCCGCTGCATTCTGGATGAGCTGCAGAGGTCGGATGGCACATGCAGGTAGACCAGCCAGGAGGGAGTTGCAGTAGTCTAGGCGTGAGATGACGAGAGCCTGGACCAGAACCTGAGTCGCTTTCTGAGTCAGCTGGGGACGTATCTTCCTGATGTTGTAAAGCGTGTATCTGCAGCAACGGGTTGTAGCAGCGATGTTTGCAGTGAAGGACAGGTTGTTATCTAGGGTCACACCCAGATTCCTTGCAGTCTGAGTCGGGGAAACAACTGAGGTGCCGATGTTGATTGTTAGGTCAAGAGTGGGACAATCTTTTCCCGGGAGGAAGAGCAGCTCAGTCTTGTCAAGGTTGAGCTTGAGGTGGTGAGCAGACATCCACTGAGAGATGTCAGCTAGACAAGCAGAGATGCGTGCAACGACCTGGGTCTCTGAGCGGGGAAAGGACAGAATTAATTGGGTGTCGTCAGCGTAGCAGTGGTAAGAAAAACCATGCGGGCTAATGACTGATCCGAGCGAGTTTGTGTACAGGGAGAAGAGGAGGGGACCAAGAACAGAGCCCTGAGGGACCCCCGTAGTTAATTGACAAGGGTCGGACTCAGACCCTCTCCAAGTCTATAAAAGCTACAAAAAGCAACACTACAGCTTCTACTATCATTGCCTATGTATTTCTGGCAATATATGCATCAGGACATGCACCAAGTGCCAGTCACACAGTCAGTTTAGGGGAATTTTCTTATTTTTATGTAATGTCTATTTCTGACCCTGCAGTTCCCTGTGGTACAGCTGTCAGCCACTGGAGGGCGCCACTCTGCAGAGCATGCTGTCTCGCATCTTAGCCGTCAGAGAGGTGCACCAGGGGCACGGAGCAGCCTCGGCCCCCGCTGATGACGACGTTTTGCCGTGAGGGGGGGCTCTGCCTGTGATATTCTCCACTGACGTACAGGTTAAAGGGAATCACTGGTGACCCAGCCCCCTTTATTCAGACAAAGACTGACAGGTGTTTGAACTGGGCACACAGAAGAGAAAGACAATTAAGACACATTTGAAGAACATTTCATACGGGATCATTGTGTTTACTTTCCTCAGTTTTCATTCCCTCCCCACATATATGAGTTTACATACTTTGTCATAAGTCTGACAAAGGGATACATTGTTAACACTGTCTCCTTCTTTCATTGTGTCACAGTGATAATTAAGGCCATCATTAGTACATATGGCAGTTCATTTTACAGTTAAGGTCCATGCTGAGCCTGTCAGATCAGCAATAGAGTAGTGCAGGGATGACGTATTTTTGTAGGCCGACCCGGAAATAAACTGCACATGGGTTCCCTCGACAAAAAAGCAATGGGATCTCTCCATAGGATAGCTATTTTCCAAAATCCTATGGAGAAATCCCATTGACTCTGAGACGAGGGAACCGGAAGTGGCAAAATGCTAACTCACTTCCGGGTTTTAGGACTCGTCACTGCACCACTCTATACTAGACTGTGCGAGCAACAAACAGACAAGAGTGTATACGCTGAATCATCTCTTTATTACAGAGTTTAAAATTGATACTTTATCGTTATTGCCCCTACTTGCATTATAGTCTAGTTGCCAGCATAGTGAAACCCGTAAATGTAGTACCCTAGGTTTTATGATAGAAATGTAAAGTACGGGTCCCCAGCACATAGAAACAGCCGGATGCTAACTTGCATATGTTGGGAACACAGTAAGCATAAGTTTCTTTAATTTAGATATATGGCATTATAGCCTATGTAAACAATAGTTATAAAATGGCAGTTTTAACCAGAAAGTGACCATATTTGTACTCCCAGTTTCTATGTGCTGGGGACCCCTACTAAACATTTCTAACGTAACACTTTGGGGTACCTAACATTTCCGGGTTCACAACAGGACTAGCTGGCGACTAAAACATCATAGAAAGAAGAAAAATGACAGATCTTGGTACTGGTATTTAAGGATTGCATTTAAAGAGGCCCTATTCTGCTTTTGTGGGTTCCCCTTCCCGTAGTGTGTTATGTAGGTTTGTATGGTATGTAATGGTCTGCAAAGGCTAAAATCCCTGTGTTCCCAGAGGGAGTTTCTCTCCCACACACCCCCTCCTCCCCTCCTGGCTGAAACACCTCCATTGGACTTTACTTCCGTAACATAATGACACCAATATGTAACATTCACGCTTCTATTGGCTAACGCTCCAACACATAATGCGTGATAAGGGGGGTCTCTAAGTTGTTATCCAATCACAACAGAGCCCTCCAGCTAACCAATCAGAGCAGACAGAGCATGAAAAGAGTTGGCAGAATGAGAAAAATAAAGATATTTTTTAACATTAAAGCATGGAAACAGTAGAGGCACAATATACAAATATGAACCTAAAACCTGCAGAATATGTCCTCTTTAAATGTCTAATTTAATATGTTAGTAATCTGTATATCGGTGTCACCCTCCTTGTAATAAGAGAGGATACTCATAGTGCCTCTCATATTTGTACTATTTTATTATTATCTACTTATGTGATATTACTTTTTTTTTATTTGTCATCCCGTGTGGCCTTATTTCCTCTTTTTTTCCTCAATTATTTCCTCTGGAGATAAAGTAAAAAGTGGCTCATGACCCACATCCACTTTATTTCAGTGAATTTAATCAAAATAGTCCATGTAGGTATTTACAGACCACCTTGATTGATTTGGGATATTTCCAAATACAATTATTATAATGATAACTACAATGGGACCTATACTCTACTCCCCCAATATTATTTTCTCCTCTTTTTTTTGTTCTTCCATTCCATTTGTTCCATAATTTGAAAAATAAATAAATTGGATGAGCGGCAGACAAGTTATTTTTCTATCCCGCTGTATTATAACAAATTGTGTTAATGGTTTATGGTATTGTATGGCTTGTGTTGGCCATACTTACAATCAAAACAATATGACAATTTGCCAAGAGCGGTCCTTTTGTTTTTATTCATCTATCCATCTGAAATGGATGTCTGCTGCAGATAACAGCTGCAATAGAACTCTTATTTTGAAAAGATTCTGATCTTTGTTTTTTTAAATGGCATATATAGATGGAAACATGGACAAAATGTTCCCAAACCTGTCTTGTACTGAACATGAACACCTTTACATCTTGTAATGTCCATTTGATATCATAGACTTTTGGATCATAATTTGGATAATCACTAATTTCCAAAATAGTTTTAACCTTTTTTTAAATTTTCCTTTCATGAGTGGTTCAGAATTCTAGATTTTTAATACAAAATAGTTAATTTGTCCTTTTTTTTAATGGTCATAATGACTCGACTACCCACAATGCTATGTGGTAACACCATGTTTCTTGTAATGCTTTTTTGCCTCAACATTTGACTCATGTTTGATAACAAAGCTTTGTATTACATTGCCGCGGGGACTGATTATAAGATTCCAATCTAAGAGTTCTGTAAATGATATTTCTTAAACCACACACTGCTGAATATCACTGCTGCCGTCTGAAGCTCCGCGGGTCAGATTCTATCGTCATGCACAAAATGCTGTATTTCCATAAAGTGTTAAAAAATCATCGTATTCCCTTCTTTTCATTTAAAATCGGACGTTGAGAGTGTGTGTATGAAATATCAGTGTCTTACAATATTTTTTTAATTCTACTAATTTAATATTAGTAGAGACAATTTATGAAACCGACAAACAAACAAATATGTAGAAGTGGGAGGGCAGAAAGCATAGCTTATAAAGGAAATAGCCCTCCTGTTAGTCATCCAGTTTCAGGATGAAAAAATTATAAATAAATCAGTATATAAATACCCACACAAATAAACAAAATGATATCTACATACTAGACTTTTTTTTAAATTGGTGGTGGTCAGGAGGCAGGAGAGAACTCGTGTTCTTGGCACTGACTAGGACGACTTAATGGTTTCTCCTCCTCATCTCTCTGGACATCTGCAACCAGCTGCAGGGCGGACAGAAGGTGGCAAACAGACAGTCCCTACACATGGTGTCCTGCAGGAAATACAGTCAGGTGAAAAATAGGATTTACAGACTGCATAATTGATTCTGATAATTATTCATTTGGTTTACCTTTCTAAAGTAATTTTTTGAAAAGTAGGGATATCAAAACCCTGAAATAGCGACACTTTTCTTCCAGGACTGAGGTTTTTTTTTTTTCTTTTACCAAAGGTTCACAAAACCTTCAAAATGTTGCTTTCTAAACCCAAGCCATGATTTCCTCCCAACTCTAACAAAGAGTTTAATGTGTGGACCTTTATTGTGTCAGTAGCAGTACTCGAGTTGAGGGGGGATGAGGGGGGATGGCATCCCCCCTGAAATAAAAACGGTCAAAATCATCCCCCTTCTAAAACTGCCATCCCCCCTTTCCATCCCTTATGTAATTTTATCAATGAACGTGGCACTGGTATTACTGCTATTTCAACATTAATTGTGCGCATTTTGAGTAAAATACTGTGAGCGAGGGAGCACGCACACACGCAATGACATTTTTACCAAGTCACTGACGCTATACTATGCGAGTGCCCTAGAGGGCGCCAGAGCGCTGTGATGCGCCTGTTTGATCGATGCCAGAAGCGCAGGTAACGGTCATCACAATGGCCAAGCAACCAGGAGGACAACGCGATCTGAGGGACTTCATATTTAAAAATACTAAAAATAACATTTCAGGTAAGTCAAGAGTCAGTAATCTTAGTCATTACTCTAGTCACCAAAGGTGTAATCTATGGACATAAGCAACAATAACAACTTAGTTTGGAGTTTAGCTACGTTTTTCTCTCGTGTTAGCTAGCTGGTCAGACTCAAAACTGTTGATGAAATGATACCACCAGCACCAGAAGAGCTGAAACCCCTCCTTCAAGCAGTGAACACTCTGGTCATCTCCACAGCTGAGTGTGAACGTGGGTTTAGTCAGATGAACATTTTAACCACAACTAGAAGCTCCCTAGAGGTAAAAAGCACGTCAGCCTTGCTTTTCATCAAGTGTGTTAGCCCTCCACTGAACAAGTTCAGACCAGAGGTATATGTCAAGACTTGGCTTCAAAGCCATTGCTTAGCTAACAATCCGAAAGCAAGAGCCAGAAAAATTGAGACCAAAAAGCATGATTATGAACATCTTTGGAAACTTCTATGAGATGGGGGAGAGTGGAGTAGGCAGCCATTGACAACATTGGTCCTATTTTGTATTATCTGTATAATCTTTTAATATATTTTCATATTTCGTAAACAATTTCAATTTGCACTTAATGCCCTGTTCCTAAAAAATTTCATGAAGAATTTACATAATGATTTAATTAATTACGATACAAATGTAACCCTTTAGATACCAGTTTTGATCGTATACCAGTAACTGCTTTTTTGAAAAAATACACTATAATTCAATATTCTAAAAACTATTTTGACTTTATTATTAGTATAATCAGTTGATCCATCTGAATAATAAACGAGGGACTGTTAACCTACAAGATTTGTACCATATACTTCATTATAACCACATTTTTGTATTCCCTCCCCCCCCTTTAAATTAAAGTGAAAAAAATATTTTGCCCTAATTGTCCTCTGCATTTGACCCTAAATGTTATTCTACTCTAATTCTGAGGTGACTTGGTCAAGAGCAATGAAAGGAGTATCTGAACATCCATAACATGCATGTTGTTTTAGGAGTATAATAATTATCTTTATGCTGGTTGGTCTCCCACCCTCGGCGGGTTATCAGCACAAATGATGTCCCCATATGATAAAATCCACCATCCCCCCTGATTTTTTTTTACAACTTGAGTACTGGTCAGTAGGAATACAAAAAAACACACATTTTCCTAACCCTTAATGAAATTGTTGTTTGTTGAACTCTTGAAAATCTTGAATATCACTTTCATATTTTTGTCGAATCAGACACTCGTGATTGTTAACACTTTCTGGACATTTGCTTATTACAAGTTCAAATCATGCAACTTGACATATCTCCCTAAGTCTCAATGAAATAAAAAATGATAGTGGATCAACAGATATCGCAAATAAAACTCAAATATATATGCCATCTGACACCAACAAAAGAGAATCGTGTCTTACTTTGATGCCGTAGCACTCCCTCATGGAGACCCTCATGGACATGGTGGCGGGAGGGACACAACCAGACATGTCCAACAGGGGGAGACAGAGACACTGCCCATATTCCTTGTTTTTTTTAACAGGCGAAGCAGGGATAGCACCAGTAAGCACAACAACCTTTACCAGAAATAAACAAATACCAGATAAGCAACCGATAAACACACCTATTGTAAAAATGACAAATAGGCCTACCTGTAAGATCCCAGAGACAAAAAAAAACACACAAATATGCACACAATCATTTAAAGGTCCCATGTCATGCTTTTCTGGTTATTACCCGTCCCCTTGTGTGTCATGTAGGTTTTTCTGCATGTAAACGGTCTGCAGAGTCACAAACCCTCAAAGTACACCCTGTAGCGAGTACAACTCTAACACAGAAAAGACGTGTCCATGCTGCCCCAGAACGCCTCGTTGGAGATTTCTCTTTTTCTATTTTTTCCTTTTGGGTCCTATTGACATAACAAAGTCCAAATGGACCAATCCGCGGAGCTCCAACAAGGCGTGTAGGACAGAGTGAATACACATACTATACAGAGATGCTGTGTGAGAAACCAATGTGATTTTGGAACTTTGAACAATGTAAATCTATCTAGTAGACCTCAACAATGGAATTATGATCAGTAGAAATGGCCATGACATGGGACCTTTAAGATACTAATAAATAATTAGAGTAAGTCAATTACCTTTCCTTTCTTAAAAAAATATTTCAGGTTCACTTTTCTTACATTAGATTTGGCTGTGTATTTTTGCTGTTATTTCATAAAACATGGATGAGTATCTAACATTATTATTTTGAAGTATTGAGTTCAAATCGACACATAAGATTGGTAGGTTTGTTGCAAAAAATGACACATTAAATCAGTAAGGAAATGACTAAATGTACTGTAATCCTTTGTGTTTTTATGATGCAGCTAATATCAAAATATGAAAGATTAATGTATTGAAAACTACAGAATAAAAATGAACAACATCTTGCCCTTTGAGTAAGAAAACAATGCCCTTTTGTCACATAATCATAATCATGACTGTGCAGAAGAGATACAAATCAAATATAAACTATAGTTGTAACTTCTCTCATAAAGAAAAGAAGTGCAGATACTTACACTCAGGCACATTTTGAAAGCAGTCACAGATCCCTGATCCCCACTCATCAGAGTTCCCGGTGTCTATCACACGCTGAGGCTGGCTGATGATCATTTTGGAAGTCATGATGGCTTTCTAAAGGAGGAACCAGGACTTAGAGTTCATGTCAAAAAAATGTTTTATTGGTGCTTGTACAAAATACAGTCATATGCAAAGTGGTAACAAATAAATCATGGGTGCTGGCAATACCCTTGCTACAAGATTGAAACAAAAAAAACACACCACATACTTTACGTATTTCATAGTTTCAGTTAGAACGTTACAGCATTTTACAGTATAATAGAATTTGTTCAATAAGATATTGTAGAAGGACACCACTCCAGTGCTGCTCTGGTGGAGGGTTGTAAGCATGTGAGCGTTAGAAATATAATACTAAGCCGAGGACAAAGTATTGACATTTTTTAAGTATGACAGTCATTTATTTGGGTTTTTGTAGACACTGACACTGGATAACAGCCTGCCGATAGATCAGATATCACCAGTATTTGTCATCCCGGAGGGGAATTACAGACAATGTGCTGTGTCATCATTTGAGTGAGTTGTTAGAAAATAAAAGTCAGGTAATTTAAATTGTCCAAACAAAATGCTTTTGTTGTCAAGAAAACCTTTTCCACATTTCTAGAGTTTCTCTTTGATTTTCAATATATTTAGGGTCCAAAAATCCTCTGCCATTTTAATTCTCACATTCTTATATTTCTTTTTTGACAATAACAGTTACATCTTCAAGCCAACCAGATTAATGAAGAATACACACATCTATAAATTGTCAAAGGTTTCTTTCTGACCTATGGATATAAAGGTGGAATAATATTTCATGGCAAATTGCCTTAAAGCAAAGTTGGTGCTATCCATAAAAAAGCACACACACTCTAAATTAGAGAAAAATAAGATGACACCAATACAGACAGGTTACAAATAATAAAAGCACTATATATAAATATATAGAGTAGCTACTACTTATGCATTATCATGATAGTGCCGAGTTAATATCTTACCTGTGTATCCGTGTTTTGAGAGAGCTCTGAGTCGTACATCCTGCAGCCGGTGTCTGCACTGAAGTGCATATCTCTTTAAATATTCAGCTTTTAAACTCTTTTTTTAACATGGAACTCAATGGGAGGAGCCTTCAAATCCTCCTACCGGTCCTTTTGTACTTTTTGGTATCTTTGTAAAGATAAGCTAATTTAATCTGTCTTGAAAGACACACTTTGCTTTGCCCAGGAGTGCGACATCCTTTTCTTTTGTTCAAATCCTGTTTAGACAGAAACCGGATAAGACACCACGTTTTTGCAACAATTACCGT